CGCATGAAAAAAAGTCTGCTAAGTAGGAAAACTTGACAGTATGTTGGACTTTTCTCATTCACGTATCAACCGATCGCTTAAAATAGAGGGAATTAATCGGTGCCCTTTGGGAACAAACCATCTTGGACACAACGCTTGCTTACGTCTTCGCTCTTGGACTTGTGCAGCACGTATCCCTTCTTCCACTGGCTGTCAGCTCCCTCGTTGGGCTTGCGGATGTTGAACTCCACCTTGGTGCGCTCCTTGTCTTGCATGGCCTTCCACTCGTCCAGCGTCATCTCTTTGGGGCCTTCCTGTTTCACCTCTTCCACCTCGTTCTCTCTGGAAGAAAAACAGCTGTGTGGGAACCCAGTCCTCACTCTGCTTCATCTACGTCCTAAGAGAACATGGTGTTGACCGTCAGAGGGTCCTGCGCTCTGCGACTCTTACTTGTTCTCGGAGCCGGCGGGCGCGTTTTCCTCTCCCTCTGGAGTCGGCTCTGGGGCGGCGGTCTGTTCGGCCTCACTGAAAGCAAAGCACTTTGTCAACCCTCCCAGCGTACTGCTCTAAACAGAATCCCAAAATGTTAAAACGCTTTAACTGTTCCATGTTCGACCTCCTCCATCCCTCCCCATGCGCGACATCAAAACCGCCGCTTGTGTGTTTGTTCCAAAAATAGAAGCGTTTCGTTGGCGATGGCAACGCGCGAAGCGATTCGGTGTCCCTGTTTAGTTTTGGAAATAAATGTATTAAAAAAATTACTCACCTCACTTCATCCTTCACCGTGCCCCAGTTGTGCGAGCCGGAGCCGCCGCGCTTCTCCTCGCTTTTTGAACTGGGTGAGAAAAAAAGAGGAAAGGAGCATTTATTTATCTCTTTCTAGTGAAATAAGCCTGGAAAGAGATGAAAATTCAGAGCTTTTAAGTTTATTTTCAGAAAAGTGCTTTTCAAAATAAAAAAAATGAATTAAAAAAATCTTTGCTTTCTGTACTGTTTGACATTTTGAGAGCACATGCTTCACAACGTTTTGATTTTATCGTAAAATGATCCAAAAGTGAAGCCGGGTGTGAGCCGGTTAGGTGGTAAAGGGCTGTTCCACAGCTTTTTTTAAGGAATCTGAACCAAATTCAACAATTTTCCAAACACACTCTTAAATTATGATAGATTCCTTAAGCCTCAATTTATGAAACTTTAATGTATTTTCACCATTTCTAAAAGCAGATTTTCTGTTTGAACCACCTTTGATCAGGTTGAACCACCGATCCAGCTCAAAAACTCTTATTTGAAGAGGGCTCAAAGTCATACATGAGGAAAAAAAGCACCAGAAAAAAGGTCCTTTCATTTGAAATAAGTGTGGGTTCCACTACTACAACTACACACCCACAAATATGGCCGCTTAAATGTTCTGTTCAGTAGGATAGACCAATTGATTTTCAGAAATTGAAATAAAAGTTGTAAAAAGAAATAATAATAATAATCTTTGGAAGGAAACACTTTTCCATACTTCATTTTCCTTTTCTCTGCTTATCCAGACTTGAGAATTGGACACTGGCATGGACACTGAAACTGAACTCTACATGCAGTCTGTATTCTACAAGATCTCACACACACCATGAAAAAGTTTCATGTAAAAAAGAGACGTATAAAAGCTCTTCGATGTGGAAGTGGTTGCTGAAGGCGTTATAAGTATTTTTGTAACAAAAACACTGCTGTTTACAGATACCTATGTTAACCGTGTCAACACAGGGAATTAACAAAGGTGTCGATTGCTTAAAACAATTAACATCAACACATGACATCACATCGGTTTCTAATAGGGATGGGTATTTATTGTATTACTTTTTGTGATAAATTTCTTACAAGTTATTTGTTGCTGTCACAACCAGCTGTAAGTATTAATGATGCTCAACTCTCTCCAAAACTGTACTTATTGATGGTATTGCTAGTCTATTTTTCTCCCGTTTTTTGTTGATATTAATCAATAAACATCAACTTAAAAAAAAAATCTAATACAGTTACTGTGTGCATATTAGTGATACCAGTCACATTTCTTTATGCCATCTGGAAAATATAATGATAATTAACTTTCAGTGCATATTTCCCACCCCTAGTTCCTAATATAAATAGTAGACACTGTTCATGACTGGAAAACTAGTAAAAGTATATTTAAATCCTGATTTTACGGACAGTTCATTGAGCTAAATCTGAAATAGGTGAAGTTGCTGTTTGACACTCAGAAGTCTGTAAATGCATCTTCATGTAAATATTTTACCCAAAGCAGAAAAAATGTATTTTGTCTGACAAGATAGGATTGTTTACTGCTTGATGAAGAAAAACGGGCATACATTTTTCACTTAATGTGAAAGCATCGCTCTCTGTCACGCACACATTAAACAACAAGTTGACTTGGATGAAAACGTTTCGTCTTACTTGCCAGTCACGTTTTACAGTGCAACGATCCACTCACGATTTGTCGTTGGTGCTGTGTCTGTCGAATTCCCGTTTCCCACGTGAGTCGAAGCCCTCGCCGCGGCCCATGCCGCGTCCTCGTCCGCCTCGGCCCCCCCGGCCGCCGCCGCGCCCCCTGGGAGGCCTGTCTCCAGAAGGCCTGGTGGGACAAAACAAAAATAAATAAATAAATACAAAACACAATACAATTTCTATTTTTATTTTGTTGCCTCTTAAAGTGAGAGGATTTCACATTTGAAGTATCAAGCACTCATTAGCTTATTCTCCTTTTAGCATTTAGATTTAAAGCTTTTGGGAGAATCTGAACACAAAAAATAAAACTATTTATATTTTAGGGCAATAATGTATTTAGTGTTTCTTATTCTATCATGATACACAGATTCACAAGAAAGATGAATCTGCTAAAAGGAGAATAATAAACCAGTTTTGTCTTTTTAACTTCTAATTGGTTAAAGGGGTATTAATAGTTAATATTTAACTCGAGGCCACACCCCTCTGCTTAAACATTAAGTGTTGGTTTGTTGTCTTTTCTACTGCCAGCTGCTGTAAAATTAATTTCCCCTTTGCACATGAATAAAGATCTGAACTAGATTCACCGATCTGATGTTATTATCTGTATCAATATAGCAATATAGGTTAAAATTCTAGATTCGATATCGGTTACAATGCCAATCTATAAGAGCAGATCTATTCAGTCTAAGTCTTTGCTTTCTGCAAAAACTTTCAAAGAAAGTTTGTTGCGGTTTATTTTTTCCATGTTTGGCCAAGGTAGATAACCTAGTATTTTTGTCGTTATGCTGACTTCACAAATTAAAGTTACAGGTTTGACCAAACCCGTTAAACTATTGGTGGATTTAAGTGTGGTGGTGCAGTTACGAGACAAATGTGTAATTCAGTACAGTTATGTCTGTGTTCATAAACCAGCACTGTTTCTCTGTATGGCATCGGTATGGGCCAATGCTAAACCTCAGATATCGGCATCGGAAGTGAAAATAGCGGATTGGTGCTGCTATTGTCTGAATCTGATCAATTTGGCTGTCCATAAATCGAGTTTTTATGCGACTCCTCCAAACCTGGACATGCAGAGAAAATGTTATGTCACCATGTTTTTAATTTACATCACGTGATGTTAATAAGCGCTGATATCTTCATAAAAATCTCTGTAGCTCATTGTTATGCTTCTCTCCTTAATGGAAAAACCGGCTGAACCAAACTTGAGGCTGATTCTCAGTAACACCTCCATGCAGATCAGCAGCTCACTTGTCTACGGGGAAGTCTGCGCCTCCCTCCGGCTTGTCCTCGGCGGGCTTCTCGAAGCGCCGCTCCCGGGGAGGTCTCCGGTCCGGCCTCTTATCCGCGGGTCGACCTTCTCCCTGCCCGCCCTGATGCTGGGATCCGGGCTGACCCTGCTGGTCCGGTCTTCTGCCCACCCGCCTGATTCCTGGAAGAGATTAAACGCTGTAATTATCGTGGATTTTCAATGTTATTTCAGGGAGATAATAAAAAGTTTGAAGAGCTCCGAAGCGGGGAGCTCTGTTCGCAGCAGGTGTGTATCTTTCACATTTGCTTTGCAAAGCCTGCAGCAGCAGCAGCAGCATCTCCCTGCTCACCGTAACCCAACACTGCGGATCCACTCGGAGGGAAGCTTTATCTGCGACACGCGCAGTCCGGCTGCTCCGGACTCCACAGCTGGCTTTACCTCCACATTTTAACCCACCAATCCTCCGACAGGCGCGCGAGGCTCCCCTGGTAGCCGCCTGTCCTCTAATAACAACAGCCCAGGGTCCATGTTGACCTCCCAGCAGCAGCTAATGTGGCTAAGCGGAGCCGCACATGACAGTTGGAAATGAGACTAAAAATAAACCTGAAAGCGGCAACCACGGCAGCCACATCTTACCTTCTTTCTTCAGAGGAACCGGCGCCTGAGACTCCTCTTTTTTGTCCAGCAGAGGGTTTTTCCTGTCCTTCTGGGACTCCTTCTTCGGCTGCTTGGCGGCTTGCGCCGCGGATTTCGCGGACCCAGCAGCGGCCCCCTCCTTCTTCTTGTTTTCCGCTGCTTTCAGGACCTCGAACGGGTCGGATTCGTCGTCCAATAGCTGGTCGAACCTGTTGGTCACGACGCAGCCGAAGCCTTCTTGCAAGTGTCCGGGCATGATGGCGCCCCTTCTACGGGATTCACCTCCGATTCTACGAGGCTTGATGCGACCGAATCGCTGGATGCTGCCACAAGATGGCTGAGAGAGCTGCCCCCTTCTCTTCCGGTGCGAGCGTCATCCGGGACACCGAGCAGCGCGCGCCACTCTGAGCACGCGGTGGAGGCCGTGCGTTTGTTTACAATGTGACGAAGTTAATTCCCTCTCCAAAATAAGCCCAGTTTTAGTTATATTTAGCAGGTTATTCTGTAAGATGAAACCCAATAGAATTTTTCTTTTTATCTAAATGTTAGTACAGTTTTACCAAACAATCCCTTTTGAATTTTAAAAAGGGGGAGTTTATACATTTAATTTTTGTTGAATAATTACATTATAGGTGTCTAGTTGATGTAGTATTTAAGCAGGGCCTCATGTCAAATTGTGTAATTTAATACAATTGATCATTTTCCATTCTTACCAATTAAATGTCACAAACTACATTTAATACAATCTGTATGTGTCAAACAATCCAGTTGTCTATAGTTAGTAAATGTTGCAGAATGCTCCTTTAATAGTGGTCATCGAGTTTTATATCTATATTTTTGGGTATTGTTGTGATAATGATAAGTGATAACGCAATGTATCACTTATTTTTTAGGTCTGTTTTTTAGAACATCAATCAAATGAAATGTGATTTGTTTCACTTAAATGCAAATAGTAACTGAATTTAATCATGTTTTCAAAATGTATTTATTTTTATTGGTACTTGCATTGAACAAACAGTGAAGAAAATAGTAAAACTGACAATCCCAACAATTTGTAGTTTTTATTATTATTTTTTTGTGATAAGTCAAAATTCTTAAGAAATTTATTATAATAAAATATAAACAATACAATGAATGCCCAACCTTACTGCAGTACATTACTTAACTCTGTTGGGAATCTGAATTCTGTGAACCAAAATGTTGTACCAATCTTGAACAGTGGCGTCAGAAAATGTCATGAATCTGAATTTGCATACAAGTTTGACTGAATTGTTGTAAACTAGACCTCAGAAGCCAAAAAATGTACTAGGTTTAACTTTGGCTATGGAAAATTATTATAATTGCTGCTACTAAAACTAGTCATTTAGATTGAAAATGCCAGAATAGGTGATCCTTAACAGAAAAAAACATGTTATAGCTAAAGAGTTCAGTCTCTGTTATGTATGACACCTGCCTGATAAGGTCTAGAACAGTTCACGCTAGTATCTGTTATATAATAAAACATACCACTTCTGTGTATATACAAGAGTTTGACCAAATGAGATAAACACTTAAGACACTTTAATTCAACTAACTCAATAGAAGAATTAAAATGGTTTCTGTTGTTAAATGATTACATTTAAGTCGGAGACACAGCAAATAATTATGTTAATTATTTACTCGCATTACTGACCCTTTGCTCGTGACGGGCGGACAGGCCACAGTACTTCTGGCTCATTTGTGCATGTGCTGAAGTAATACCTCCTGATTAGATTCAGCAAAAACATTTAATGAAGTTCAATGTGCAGAGGTTATAAAATATTAAAACCCTGTTTTTAAAAATAAAAACTGCTACTGTATCTCATTGAGATACTGCTGATAATGTTTACTGTCAGCGGTTTTCTTGCTCAGGTTTCTTCTCACTTCTCTCTCAAGCTCAAGGAGCTTAGAGAAGAAGACCTCAGTCATTTCATCATCAAGGTCCATCTGCAACACAAAAGTAAGCAGAACATTCTGACTAGATCCTTCAATGTGAGAAATGTCATCAGATGTGCGGTTTAAAATGTTCCAACATCTTTCCTCTAAGGCCCAACTATTCCATAGACGCTGATGGAAAAATGTCACTAAAGAGGAGGCTGTGCATCCACACTTAACCCCTTATACCTCCTCCAAGAGTTTTGTGCTTTATAGGGACAAATGTTATTAAATGCAGTCAGTATTATGCAAAGACAACTGGGATAATTGTCTATGTAAACCATGTGGTTCTCCATAACTTTCTACAGATCATTTAACCAAAGTCATCAGTCATGAAAATAAAATACAGTAAAAGCCAAACAGGAAGGCATGATTGTAAGTTTTAGTCATAATAATGAGTAAAAGTCTATTTTGACCAAATAATTATGAGATTCAAAGTCAGAAATATGAGATATGAAGTCATAGTTATGAGAATCAATGTAAAAATTATGAGATCCGAAGACGTCATTTTGACTTTCAAAGTCATAATTATGAAATTAACTCAGTTAGGACATTCAAAGTCAAAATGATTTCTGAAAGTTTAAATTATGTCTTTTCTATCTCTCACTTGCCACTCTGAATCTCATAACTACAACTTTTTATTCATGTCATTATGACTTTAAAACTTGAAATTATGACTTTAATTTTTCATTTTATGGCCAAAATGGCTTTCCGTAGTGCGTGTACATATTTGGACTTAATTAGATTTGAGAAAATTTACATTAAATTCAAAGTTGTGCAGCCAAATCTTGTTTTGTTTTGAATTAATTGAAATGTTTGTGGTATAATTACATTAGAAATGAAGTTGGTGCACACGCACACAACAAACTTGACGGCCATCTAAAGCAGAATCAGCCGAGGACAGACGTTACTGACCCTGCGTGGCTCGGTGTAGTTGGTCCCCAGTCCGGATGTTAAGCTCTGGTACTTTGCTCTGGGATCCAGAGACTCTGGCTTCTGAAGAAACAACCAGTGCTGTGACAGACCAGAGCAAGAGTTTGTGTTTACGCCGCGCCTTAAACCCGTTCAGAGGGATGTGTGAACACGGAAAACCCCGGTTAGATACAAACCAGTGCCTCGGCTCCGTTGTATGGCGTGAGCGTGAAAGTGTTGGTGAAAATCCGGATCTGTGTGGGGAGACGGGGAGGTCGTCAGACACGGATTGAGGCTGAAGTTTGACGTGAATAATTAAAGAGCAGAGCGACCCACCAACCACATGATGGGCATGATGAGAGTCCAGAAGAAGGAGGGCAGGATCCCATAGGTCAGGTTAGTCATCACCAGGCCTGGGCAGATCACAGAGGAGAACAGCCCCTGTCACAGAGAGACAACGTATGTCGTTTCCTGAATCTTAAATCGAAGCTCCGTCGCAGAGCGCCCGACACACCTGCTGGTTCTTGTGTTTGTTGAGCGCCACGCTGAGCATGTCCGAGGCGTATTTGGAGGAGCTGTAGGGCTCCTTCCCTCGCCTGTGCTGGATGTCCTGGATGCTGAAGGCCGAGCGCCGGGCGTTGCTGGACGACGTCCACACCAGCCTGGAGGTGTGACCCGGCTGACACAGCAGAGGCTCCAGCTCCCTGATCTGGAACCAGGATGCAGAGGAAACCATTACACTAAATTTTTTAATTTTATTTTTTTTCCCCTATTATTTTTTTTTTCCAATGTATTTAAATTCATTATTATTTAAAATACATATTTATTATTGAATTATAGTATATATACATATATATATACAAATACAAAGAACAAAGCAATGTTTCTATCCCAAATTTATAATATTATTGATAGATAATAAACTTTAAAAAGTTTAAACATTCCAAAATATGATCAGAGATTTTGGTACGTGCGCCATCAGTTCCCAGGTTTTATGTACCAAGACATATAAAAAAAATACAATTAAAAAAAAGGAATCTGGTCTGTAACAGATTCTAAAATCTACAATACCACAACGAACGCTTTTATGAAACTAGTTTGTAAAATGACAAACCATCCGCTCGTTTCCCCGACATACGACATCTTGTCGTGTAACAAAAGTACAGGGTGCTGGATGAGGGGGGATTTCTGCTGCGTACCAGGAGGAAATGTCCAAACAGGTTTGTGGCAAAAACCTCCTGAAGGCCATCCGAGTTGAGTTGGTCCTGCTGAGTCAGCAGACCCTCAGCTGTCGCAAACATGTTGATGACGTTCCTGTGACAAAGACAAGATCAAGGTGCCGTAAAGGTTTTCAAAGCATCCCCGACATCAAAGCTCATTTCAGATTTCTACCTGGAAAACAGTCCTTTGAAAAACGCTCTTATGTCCACCGTCGGATTGGGCATAATTCCTGCGTTCAGATACAAAAAATCCACGCAGCGGTACCTGTGGCAAAGCACAACTCGGCGTCAAAACCTCCACCCATCTGAAAAGCTCATTGACAAAACCGTCTCATTTACCTGGCCTTGAGTTCCTCTGCAGCACTGAGCACCGACTGTGCAGAGCCCACGTCCAGGTGCAACAGGTCCACATGCGCGTCACAGTGACGCGCCAGCAGAGCGGCGCGGGCGGCCTCCGCCCGCTTCATGTTCCTGCAGGCCAGGCAGAGCCGCAGCCGGCCGTCCTCGGACAGCAGCCGGTCACACAGGGCCAGGCCGATGCCGCTGCGGAAATGATTTGGCTCCATCGATTCAAACACTTGTGGTTCATAGAGAATCTCATAGTAAGCATTGTTAATGCTGGAATCTGAAGGTCATCTTCTTCCACCTCATCCTTCACATCCTCCTCTGTACATCGAATTTGGTCATGTCACAACAATTCACTTCACCATTTAAATCACAAGGGCAGCATGTGCTTTTAGTCCTATTTTGGCCTAGTCCAATCATGTCTGGGATAACTACTACATTTTTTATTACTTTTTCTGTGTCCTTTCATCCACACAAAAACTATGTTTAATTGCACCAAAAATGATTACTTATAAAAATTTAAAAAAAAACTCTGACCACGATGGAAAGTTGAGAAAACTCTCCATTTGTGTTTCTGTGTGTACATGGGGAAACAGAGATCTGGTGTCCAATATATTACAGTCAACGATAAATGCGGCAACTTATCCACATACTTGCTTTGATATGATTCCCATTTCATATTGTCTTGTGTTTCAATAACATTATATTTTAATACACTCTTTAAAAGTTGTTCAACCTACATATGCGTCCACACAAGTGAACCTCCTCACGCCGTCTTTAATTCCTAGCAGGAAGTAGTGGTTGTTTATAAGCCATCCGATTGGCTGACGGGTTTTAGCAGTTTACAACAACGCCCAGGGATGGATTTGTGCCAGTCCATGTGGGTGAAAACCTTTCTGAAACCGATCTCGCATATACGATATGTTCTTTTTAATTATGTGGTTGAGTTATTTGTTCTTATAGAGACTCAGCCACCCCAAAATAAAATCCAGAGCATATCAGTGGTTCTACATGAGACGTTTTGAATTTTAGTAATTTCTTCCTCATTTTCATAGATCTAAATACGCCAAAAGTCACAACATTACGTAATTACCTTTGAAATTATTTTATTTATCAGAGCTCATTATTATTTCCGTGGCATGAATTATAATGCAGAAACATATTTGTTTCATTATTTTAGGGAGCTTGTCATTTATTTTTCAAACTTGCCTGATTTGTCAGTTTGCTAACAATATTGCATTAAATTAAAAATGAAACATTTCTTTACTGAAGACATGTTAGCCAATATTTTGTCATACTATTATTATTTTTTAATTTATTAATTCCTTTTGAATCTGTCAAATTATTATGATTTCATGCAACACACACTGCGTGACGTCATAAAGTACGACTGACCTTCTCTTTTAAATTATTATTATTATTTTTAATAAAAAGACTTGTTGACTTTTTAAGAAAAGCTTTACATTTCTTTATTTATTATATAACCAACCATGATTATATCATGTTTTTAGCATGTATGCTAGCAAATGGGGTTTCTGGTTAAACGATTCGTCAACTCTGTTCCCTTCAAACTCTGTTATTAACTTAGAGGAAAAAAGTTAACGTGTTCTGTAGAGTGCCTGTAAGAGTCCAATTTATTAAGTTTTTCTTCCAAGTTTTGAATTGTCTTTGTATCTTGAATCATCAAATTACCCCTGTATGAGCTTAGCGGTATTTTACTTAGAGGCCTTGAACGTCTCACCAGGTCTGATGTCCAGCTTTAGCATCGCAAGTTATTGAATTATTAGTGTTTATGGTAAAAAAAAAAAAAAAAGAGAGGGAAAAGCCGTTTAATTTGTTTTATATACCAGTTTTCAGTTCACTCACCTGTTTGCTCCGGTTACCACGACAATTCTCTCCATGTCTGAACAGAGTTGGAAATGAAACAAAACAAAATATTCAGAAAAACTCTGAAAGTCCGTAGGTTTTCACCTTCTGAGCAGCTGGACAGCCCACCGTCCGATTCTGTTAAATATCTGCCAAATCACAATCTATGGCGTGATTGGACGACAGCAGACAGCTGGCCAATCACCTTGCCGCTACGGCAGGTCCAGAGGTCCAAAACGTCCGGAGAGCGCGGTTTAATTTAAAGGAACCTCGTCCTAAAACGACTATCGCGGTGAAGAAAGCGACGGCAACAAATTCACTCAGAGTTTTAATTGTGTACAGGAATCTTTTTGTATAAAAAGTCACATTATTTGGACTTCTGCCTCTCACCAGTAGAACAAAGCTGAGTTCTACTGGAAAACAAACACAGAAATATATAGCCTATCAAAATCTGTAAAGAAATTTTATTGGTACACTATAAATAGAAACAATATAAAAATATTGTAAAAATAAATACATGTATGAGTGGATGCGGTGTGTACACACTGCTTATTCTGTATAAAAGCAGTATTGTGTTTTCTTCAAGATCTTATGTGTGTGTCACTTACAGCGTCAGAGACTTATACATAGTTATACAATTTTCTTTGTTTACATCGAGTCCAAAGATTATTTCAGATGCATCCACATAATAAACAGGAGGACTGAAACTTCAGGTAAGAGGGAAATTATTGTTTTTGACATGATTAGTAATTAAAAAGAAAACTTTAAATGACGTGATCTTGAAACAGTTCTATAATCCACTATTTTGACTGGATAGGAAAGATTGGTATGTAAATACATAAGTTCTCTCACCAAATGAGGCATAAAAGTTTGAAGACAAAGATGCAACTTAAAAAACCTTTAGAATATTACAAAGCCCCCTTTAAAATAGCAAGTCTTGCTAATGGTATGTTTTTGAAATCCATCAAACTGAAAAGTATTCACAAAATAAATGTTAGACAAAATAAACATCGTATCTCATTTGCTCAAGTGTTGTACCTGAACAGTCAATATTCTGTAAAAAATATTTTTTTCAGAGAATAACAAATAAAACTTCCACATATTCATCATTTTTCATGCATCCCAAAATATATGTATGTAGTTTAAACCTGGTTATTTTCACACCTTTCAAGCAATCAGATATCCAATTTTTGTAATTCAGTGTTTTTATGGTATGTCAGATGGCTGCCCATTACTGAAACAGTTTGTATGGAGCTAAACTGAAGCCATAAAGTTTGTTCAGAAGAAACAAAATTGAAACTGAAAAAAACAAAGTCTTAAAACTGAAAGAAATGAACCTGAAAAATTATTTTGACACTGAAAATCAAAACTGAACCTGAGAAGTTTTAAAAGTGAAACTGAAAATAAAGATCTGAAACTGGAAAAAAAACATGTTTTCAAACTGCTAAACAGAGTGTAAAACTATTTCTTCAGTTTCAGATTTTTTTTCTTTTGAACAAACTTTGTGACCCCAATTTCTCTCCATAGTTTGTCCAGTTAATCTAGAACTGACACTTCCAGGCTTAATTAACCCTACAGAAGATGCTTGGTGTCTCATCTGCTCTCCGTCAGCTGGGCGTGTATCTCCTGGAAGCTCGGCCTTTCCTTGGCGTTTCTCCTCCAGCAGCTTAGCATGAGATCGGCGTAGATTCTGTCAGGACAACACAGAGGTTTTGGCAGGTATACCTGGGAGCATAAAAAAAAACAGGGCTATTATATCACAAGCAAGACAGGCTATGTTTAGTGTAATGATAGTTAAGGGCATGTGTAGTATGAAATAAGACAGTACAAACAGTGTAAGCACTACAAGGAGCTTTCAACCACTAACTTTTCCACAATTTGTCACATTATTATCAGAATCTGCTATATTTGATTGGAAATATTATATTATGGTTAAAGAAAAGACATTTGTGCAATGTTGAGACAGCAGGGACTTGTTGCCTTGGGGGGGCAACAAGTCCCTGTTTACTTTCCAGTCAAATGATTTTACCTGCTTTGTGTAGATTCATCAAAAAAAAAAAAAAAACACTAAAGTCCCTGGATGTAAACACTGAATAATTTAAGTTGGTCATGAAAACTTTAGCACACCACTGTAAATGTGCGCTGACCACCTGTGGAGTGGTTACCTGCTTGCCTTGGTTCCTGAAGAACTCGCCCGTGTTTTCGATCACCTGCTCGTCAGAGAGCTGCGAGTATGGCTGCTCCTTGCACAGGGTCAGGATTTCCCACAGAGTCACCCCGAAGGCCCACACATCGCTGGCCATGGTGAACTTACCCTGAGAGAACAGACAACAACAACAGAACCCCAAGTGGGCTCATTCTAAGCCAGTTTTTAAGGAATCTGGTCCCGTTTCCTCTCACTCACTAAAAGGATGCTCTCCCAGGACATCCAGCGAATTGGCAGGACGGCTCGTCCCTGGATGCGGAAGTAGTCCCCTCTGTAGAGGTTACGACTCATGCCGAAATCCGCTATCTTGATGGTGTCATTCTTCCCCACCAGGCAGTTGCGGGTCGCCAGATCCCGGTGGACAAAGTTGAGAGAGGACAGGTACTTCATCCCAGACGCGATCTGCACCGCCATGCCTAGCAGTTTGACGGAACTACAATACAGGACAGAAGAAGTACTGTACCTATTAAAGGTTCTTGATTTGGTTTTATGCATAAAAATCTGAAAAGTGTGGTGCAATAGTGGCGCAGGTGTAAAACACAATCCAAGTAAGGAGGCCTAAGCCCTGATACAAACAAACTCAATAGTTGCATTTTACCTGTGATTTCTGGGCCACAAATCACAAATTTATTTAATCGGTTTGCGGTTTTGAAGTGAGGAAGCCCAAACTGCGTATGAACCATTTACCATGATGGTGCACTACCTGACTTCGTCGCTCCCCTCCTGCTGGTCCGTCTCGCCATCAGTCAGGGTCTTCAGTCTGAGACTGCAAAGGAACTGGTTGAGGTCTCCATTCTCCATGTACTCCGTGATCATACACAGAGGGTCCGTGTCCACGCACACCGCCAGCAGGCGGACGATGTTGGAATCCCTCAGACGAGACATGATTCTTATCTCCTTCAGAAAGTCGTTCCTGCAGCAAATTCACCAACTAAAACTGAGAACTGGGCGTGCCAAAGGCGGTTCTGTCGCCCGACCGTCCAGCCAGCGACCCTTACCTGGCGTTCTTGTTGGCGTCTTCCCGTAGCATCTTCACAGCTACGAGCAAAGGAGACTCGCTGCCACCTTCTGTTGACGTATCCTCACCCAAGAGGTCCTGCATGTCCTCAGCCTCGCACAAGTGCACCTGTGTGGAGGGAAATCGTCTGCTTTGATTCAGATCTTTACTTGACACTGACCAGAAGTAACTTTAATGTCAAGTCAAAAAATGAGTTTACCTCCCCAAACTGGCCCTCTCCCAGTTTCTCCTTGAAGGTCAGCTTCTCTCTTGGGAACTCCCTCAAGGTCGAATCCGATCCGGCAAAGAGGTTCATGTTGACTGCTGTGAAGAAGCCGCTGTCCGAGGACTCCTGCAGACTGATAATATCCGCCTCGGCATAATGCGGCGCGCCGTCAGAACCGACGCCTGCTCTACTGGAGGTTCCCGACTCTGGAAGAGAAGCACGCGCTGCAGGATCTGTTGCTTCGGCTGCTTTTGAAGACCTTAGCGTTGACCTTCGATCCCCGGCTCCCTCCTTACCGAGGTGTTCTGCGCACTCAGCAAATTCGGGCAGTTTGCGGATGAGGCGAGAAGGCTCCTGGTAGTCGGCGCAGGCGGGGTAGATTCTCTCGTAAGTGGAGATGGAGCCGGAACCAGAACCAGAGCCGTCCTCGCTGGACTGAGAGAAGCGGAGGAAGGAGAAGGCCTGGGTCTGGACGGCGAGGCGAGCCGTCAGCTCGTCGTCCAACAAGCGGCGGGAGGCCTTACGATGCGTGAGAGGATACAGTCTGTGTGAGTGACTTCATACCCTTGACACTTTTTCACATTGTCATGGTCAGAATGTAGTTCTTTGAGATGTTATGTCAATGTTTAACAAAATGGTAAGCAGTTTTTAATTCTTTCCTTTCAGTTTCTAACCTTTGTCAGAAATTCCAGGGCTTTGACTGGAAAATTCTACTGCAAAAAAACAAAATCTTGACAAGTAATTTTGATGTGGTTTCTCAGCAATTATCATAGTACTCTTGAAATAGCCTACTCTAAAGAAGCATGTTTTAAGTAAAAAAACTACTTAATATTGATGGAAAAGTTCTAGATATAAGTGAAATAATCTGCCAGTGGAAAGGCATCCAAGATTTTAAGAATAGCTTCTTCTCACCCATTTAAATTTTATATTATCGCCTTCCTAACATAATGGCCTAAGTCATTTGTGCCAAAAGCAATTTCTGCAAAAAATAAAAATAAAAAATCACCACTTTCTTCTTTCCAAAAAATGTTTCAAGCAAATAAAAACATAACAAAATAAAATAAAATAAAAAACAGCTTTTGGTAAAAAAATAAATTAGGCTGTTATATTTTGCAACACAGGTAACTTTTAGTGTTTTCCTCGGCTGAGCTTTTAGCCATCAGTAACAATTTTTACCCCAAAAATCAAAACAGACAAAAAAATACCAATAGTAAATGCAGTTCATTCACCTTCTCAAGCATCTTCTGCCAGACCTGCCTCCACAGTATGATGACTATGATGGTCAAAAGGATGGCGATAATAGCCACCAGGCAGCCAATCAGGATCCTCGTGTTGCTGTTGTCCACTTTGTGAGTGGGATCCTCCCCTGACGAAGCACAGGAACTTGTGCTTCAAATGTGCTCAATAATGCGTCATATGAAAAGAAACGTAGCACTCCCTCACCATTTCATTGCTGGATAATAAATAAAATGTGGAAATTCTCTCTCTTTTTAAGTCTTAAAACTGAATGTTGTAGTTTGTGATTCTCTCAGGAGGGGGCAGTGTTTACCTAGAAAGCATTTTCCCCCCCACCCTATCTTCACCTTTGCTTACTTTTAAATAAAACAACACTGCTTGAAAGCCTGAAAGCTTTAATCATGTTTATTAAAAAAAAAAAAGAAAAAAAAGAACAGATCAGATGCAGTTCGCTTGGTTACCTGGAAGGGATTTTTTATGTTGTCCGTGCTTGTGAGGACCCAGCGACGTGTTGTAAACGGCAGAGCCTGTGACACAGAAAGGGAAGGAAGTCGGAGTGAATTGAGTCAGGAGACGGTTTCGCTATGAATCCAACATGCTGGCCTGGTGCGGTGGGATTAAAAGGCTGTCTGAGGGGAGTCTCAGATAGTTTTACCCGACTGAAAGGCCACCTCGCTGAGCAGCAGCCACTGATCGCTGAAGTGAAAACGGCACTTGATGCTGCTGGCCGTTCGATCCCCGAGGGGCACGGTGACAAATCGGCCGCTTTGGCTCAGGGGCTCGGCGGATGGCCTGAAGGTCATGGGGTCGGGCTCCCATTCTGATTCGGAGCGGAAGAAGCACGTGGCCTGTCTGAACAGCCGCACTCCACGGCTGAACATGTTGCTGCAATGAACCTGTAGAGGTGGTAGGCATTATTAAAGTATTAAATCCTGCTGTGTGCCAGACTTTAAAGGGGCAGTGTTATGGGTTTTCAGCCACATAGTGGCATTTTATAGCACAATCATGTATCTATTTTATCTTCAGTTGTTATAAAAATGCCATGTATCTCAAATATGACCTAAAATAAATTTGATTTTTTGCCTTGAAATTGGGCCTCTGTCTCTTTAAGAACTCCTGCGCTTTCTGAAACTCTGCCTTCAGGAAATTGCCACAACATGGCACCTCTATTAACCCTTTAAAAACATTTTTAATGAGCTCAACAGATGTGCAGTTCCACCAGGTGTTTGCTAAGTGCTTCTGACTAGTCTGAAGGAACTGAGTGAGGCAGAAGTTTGGAACCTGCATGTCCAAGGAGGAGCTTTGTCCTTGAAGGCGGAGCAAGGTCCACGCAGGTGTTTTGAACAGCAGGTTGATTTTGATGAGGGAATAACATTATGACATGATCTGTAAGGCATCTAAAATATTGCCTCCTGCGTCGAGTCCTTCCTCACCTTCATGGAGGTGAAGTTGCGGATGTGGTCAAAGTCAAAGACCACCTCCACATAACCTTTTGGGAAAGTCTTGTTGCTCCATCCCACATAGTCGTACCCAGGCCACACTCCAGGGACATGGCTGTGCAGAAAGTCATCCAAACCCCAGGTGCCATCCGTCAGCTGGCCCAGGCCCTTGGTCAGTCTGGAGTAGCAGAGTTAGATATTTTTTTATGCTTGTTTTCCTCATAGTTCTACATGTAGAAAAAAAAGTTCAGACCTTTGAGCTGTTGCTCCATCATACACAGAGTCATTGAAGAAGACATCCAGGCCTCTGTAGATCATCTGGTGTCCGTCTGGAATGCTATAAGACACCAGACCATCTGGAAGGAGCAGAAAAAACAACTAAAATTATGATGGTGTTTTTTTTAAGTTTTCACAATATTACATAGAGACATCATACAAAAAATATGATGTAAAGCAAAACTCAGTCTGTATAGACACAGGCTGGTTGGCATGGTCACTAATACTGCACACTGTCAGTCAATTGGCTAAAAAGAAACAAGAAAGATGACTTCAGCTATTTGGAAATTAATTTATGTTAAGTAATTAAAACATGAAAGGTTATGTTGTGGAAACCTGAGAACCTCCATCAAACTACAGAAAAATGTTCTCCGAGCCACATGAGCGTAAAATATATTGTTGTCAATAGAAGCAAAGGAAAGAAAACCTGTGGTATTTTTAGTCAGATTTAATACAGCGTCAGAATGAAGAACCCTGACTGACCCAGCCATTCACAGCCGTAGAGCTCCACTCTCATACACACGATCGACGAGGGGTCGGTGACTGGCATAAAGCGGACGAAGCGGGCGATGATGGGGGGCTCAAGATCCTTCAGGACCACGTCGTAGGTGTTCTCATTGCCCTCGATAACCTACGAGACGAGAGGCAGGAAGTTCAGATTCAACATAACTCAGTGTGTCCCTGGACAGAAGTAAACTTTAATTTGACAGATTAATATTTGCTCTTCTTCCCCAACAAAAGAAGACTAATACAAATCTGTCTGTAATCTAAATTTGTAGAAATGGTCCTAATGGTTTGAAAATAGATTTAGATATTATATTTAAAATAGGGTAAATTTATTATTATTTATTTATTATTCCACCATGTTGTTCTTTTTCCTGATAGAAAATTATGATTTTCCTGTTAAATTATAAAATGATTTAACAGGATGCCTTCATGAAGAAAATGTTTCTTTGATGAACAGCATGTCAAAAGATTATGTATAACTTACTTAAAAGTCAAAGGGAAAATCCTCATTGGTACGACAGCAATCAAATCAACAATTTTCTTTTAATTTCTAAGTCATTTTTTAAGATGGGGCTGTAACCACCTTTAGACCCCCTCTTTGTGGCACCACTGCTTAGGATCAGGATTTTTTCAGCTCATCTTCCTCTGATATTGAGATTTGCCATATGATATGAAACAACTGTGACAAAAACAAAACAATTCTGTAAAGCGGACAACTACCTCGGCCACACATGTTAATGTTTATGTACACCACATGTTTACGTACATAAACATAGCCATAGAATGAACATAGTGTACTTTCTACTATTTCTTTTTTCTTACACATTCCTGGTTTGGAGGAAAAGATCTTTAACAATTTTCTTTTGCTGTCAGACTGGTCCAACTTTAGCCTCAAATGCAGCTGCATTCGCTGCGCCGAGAGAAAGACGAAATTAAACCAAGTCGCTTTTTCACAATAGACTTAGACAATAGACAATAGACTTAGAAAGTCCAACTTTCTAATTATAGCTGGAACTGATCTGGAACGAGACAAACCCAACACAGAATCCAGAAAACGGCCAAAATTGTATTTAAAATAAAAAGGTTCAGTAATTCTTACAGAGACATTTACACTGAAATCATCACGGTGTCCCCACATCCTTAAAAAGTCTTAAAATATCTTCTATTAATTTTTTTTAAATGAAAACAAAAGTAAGTCGGCCTTAAATATGTTCATCATAAGTTTTAAGTTTTGTTGTAAGACTATTTAACTTTGCTTGATCTATTTAATATTGCTAGCTAGCAAGCTAGCTAAAAAGTCTTAAATTTGACACCAGCAGATCATTATAAATATGTTTTCACTGCCTTGCTAGAAAATGCTAGAAAATATATTTCATATATTTAAAATGTCTTCCAGTTCCAGTGTTAAATGTTGATTTGACTTTATGTTTTATTAATCTTTGAGAATGTGCTCTTGCGTTATTATGCAGTTTTTAGCACTACATTGCTTGAAAATGAGCTCAAAACAACAATATTATTGTTTATCGCAATAACTTCTGGAGCGATTTATCGCTCAGCAAATTTGTTACTGTGATGGGCCAACCGTTGACAATAATAGCAACAATAGTCACATTGCTGATGCCAACTTGGCAAATTTGTTGTTATACTTAGCAACTTTTCAAAAAACAAAATAAATTGGTATCGGCCAAAATTGGAATCGGCAGGTCGGGCTTTTTAATGATCAGCACTTGGCATAAAAACTCCAATCGCTGCAACAATAATGAAAATGCCTTGGCACTTTGCAAAAATGACTAAGTTCCAGATTTGTAAAGATTTATTGACTTTTTAAAATTATTATTAAACTATTAAAACAGACAGTCAGTTTCTATTGCTCCTCAGAGACACAATTTAAAATAATCAGCACGTTGTTGTCCTGACTGACTCAGATTTATGAAGTAATGTTGTCCAGAAATCACACGCACCTGATTTCCCATCCTGTCATGCCAGCCCACCCAGCTGCTGCCGTCCCGGCTGTACTTTATCCTGTACCTCTGGGCAAATTCGTTGCCCATGCCGTCGGCGTGGCGACCCTGGGTGCCCACGAGGGTGATAAAGTGCAGCGAGCGCAAATCCACCTGGAGGTACTCCTTGAAGCCGCCTGGCTCCGACATGATGTCGGGACACCAGGCCCCGTCCCCGTCGCCGGTGTCAAACTCCAGTCTGTGGAAGCAGGGAGTGAAAAAGATAAAAAAAAAAAAAAAAGAGAGAGTTTAAATTTACGACTGGCAGTTTTTTGTTCCTAAAATAGGTCAGGAGTGTGTTGTCGGAATGAAAGCAGGAGTTAAAGTTGCCTTCCAAATCGTGCGGCTGTGGACTCGGACCACTGACTGGAAGCAGAGATGTCCTCGTCCTGGATCTGCCCGCCGGTCATGCCCAGAGGATAGCGACACATTTCTGAAAACACAACCAGACACAATGCAGCTGCTGTAAGATCCTCTGTTGGTTTATGAATCACTGAACAAGATTTGCTGTCGTTATATCAACCTTCAACCTCAGGAAGAACCTTCTGGTCTACCAGAGCAGACCGGAGCGTCCCTGCTCTGCTCTGCATCCCCAGAACCAGAACCAAACATGGAGAGGCAAATGAACAAACTTCCAGAAAATTACAAGACTGCAGAAACGCCGAGTTCCTTTAAATCAGGGCTAAAAACCCATTTGCACAGAGCTGCTGTTGATGAATGATAATGAGAACATTAATTGATATAGTTGATTTGTATTTAATGATTACTGTTGATGATGACATTTGTCAAAATGAAATATTTTTTTACTTGTTTCATAATTGATTATTCTGTCATGTTTTCATGGTTTGAAGGACTTTGAACTGCTTTGTTGCTCCAATGTGCTACACAAATAAGCTTGACTTGAACGAAATCCGCCTTCAGGAAGTCATCACAACATGCCTCCTCTAGTAACCATTTAACATTTTCACTGAGTAGCAGCTAGCACTTCTCATATCGGTGTTTGCTAACTGCTGCTGGCTAGTCTGAAGGAGCTGAGTGGAGAAGTTCCAGGGGAGGGCTGATCTGTGAGGCAGAAATTGTTGTTCTGAGGAGGAGTTTTGTCCTCAAAGGCGGGGCTAGGTCCACCCAGGTGTTTTGCACACCTGGTTGCCACGGGAAATTAAGGGATTTCTCTAATATGAATGAGAGAATCAAGGCAACACTCCAGGTATGATTTTGATGTGCGAATAACATTATAACATGAGGCTCATAAAAGTCGATTTAAAACAGTACTGTCCCTTTAAGAACTGACCGAGGAAGTTCAATACAAACACCTTTTCAGGTTTTGATTTCCAAAGCAGTGAACATCTTGTCCAACTTGGTGAAGGCTTCAAAATACACTGAAGTTTGTGTTGGTGTCAAAATATGGAAAAGTTTAATGGACATGAATATTTTTGCAAGTGTCTTGCCACCCTCCACCCCCACACACTCCGTTTTTTTTTTAAATATATATTTCTAAAGGACCTGAGGAGTTGAGTACTAATTGGACTGGACTGCCTTCCTCCCTCTTGCCCCTTTTCCTGCTGCCCTGCGTGGCCCCTGAAGCCAAACAGAGGCATCACTGTGTGGGTGCCAGTCTAAGCAAAACGAGAAGGGAGTGTCCGCTGAACTGGCCGCTCTTCACTTTCCTCGGTTTTCATGACTTTTTGAGCAAAAAGAAAAAAATCATAGAAAGCCGGCCCAGATTCTCTCAGGTAAACAAAACTCAAGGTACTAGAGAATAACTTCTGGAGAATAACTTCGATCCCAAATATAGCAGACAAAGGGGTCAAAGTGTATCCTGATTAATCCCATCCCCGGTCTAAGTTTTCTTGTCGCCCCGTTGCCCGCAAAGCTCTAAGAAGGCCGAACTTGGAAAAGTCTTGAAATGTAAGGACGCACCTGATTGGCCATGTGTGGAGAATGAGTGCAGGAGTGTGTGTCAGCCAGAGCTACGCCAACAAACCTTCTGCCGTCCCCACCCTGCGTCCTGCTCCTGAAAGCTCTGCCTGTGCTGAGGATGTTTGCCTCCTGACCACTGGGCAAACCGCACACACACACACACGCAAGCACACTCACACACACACTTCCTTGTACTGATACTACTCACAGAACTTTGCATCGGCTTCGGTTCATTTTCTTTTAAAATAAGAGCTTAAAGTTTTATCACCACACTTTGCTGTACGTTTTGTGATGAGGATAAAAGTGATGATAAGAACTTTTTATTAATTCTTTGAAGTTACCGTGTGGCCGTGACTGAATTTGCTTCTTCAAGACAGAGGTCACATAAATAATAACTGCATACTACTTTTTTTTATGCCTCCAGTGATAAAATAGTAAAACAAACATTCTTAACAATTTGGGGATATTTTAAACTTCATTAACTGAAATTTATTGTGGCAAAAATGAATCAAAATTCTTATCGTGATAAGAAATTTGTCGCGATAAATGATAACCAATACAATAAATGCTCACTCCTAATGTCTAAACAGTGGAGAAAACTACTAAAACTATCAATCTCAACACTACAAACAGATGTCAGGGGATTTAAACATCATTAGGTGGTTGTTAACATCAATACTTTGATTAATCGTGACATCTCATTGGGATGAAAAATTTATTGCGATAAGTGTAAAAATGATAAGCAATACGATAAATGACTAACTCAGACATTTCTTTAACCCTAACTTTTCTGGTGAGTTGAATTCAAATCCCAAAAATAGGAGTGGTATATTCCCGACACACACTTCAACCAAAACATAATTCATATCATAACCCTCATCCTAACCTGTAGAACTGCAATAAAACAAGTGATGACCTGGAAAATGTCCTCAATGGTGACAGTGGTCCTCTATATGTAGAACGTACAAGTCCACACACACATCTCACGTATTCTGAGCCCACCCACCTTAAGATTTGAACAACATGCTAATGTTTTTATTTTCTGAATAATCTTATGAACCGCAGCTGATTGGTCTGCCTTCTGGCAGGCAGCTGAACGAGTCTCTACCTGGATTGACTTGAGCCTTTACGGTGGCGGCCGTCAGGATGAAGAAGATGCAGCAAAGGTTCAGTTTGACCTCCATGACGCTCGTCGCCTCAAGGAGCTGCGGTCCTAAAAAGGCAGATTGTGAATAAGAAATATGTTTTTTGTTTTTTCTAAATCTGCCATTTGGAGTCTTTGATCTCATTCACTCGGAGTTCTTACATACGTCTGCGGAAGAATTAGTTGGAGAAAAATAAAAACATTAGACTTTAAATCGTAAACAGCTCTACTGAATTTATTGCTACATTCATACAAAAAAATGAAATAAAAGAACAGGAACATATAAGATCGAATTCCAAATCCTGCATCTAGATTAAGAAAATGTAACTTTATCGACTAAGTTGTGTGAATATACTACTTTTTTTGAACAGTTTAACATGAGATTTGTCCTTCTTTGTTGGTTTTACTTACATTCTGACGTTCCTCCGTCCTCTCTCAGAGAAGATTCCACAATCTCTAGAACTTGATGTGCTCAAAGCCGTGAGTTACTGCTGACCTCGTCTTTGGAAGGTATTTCTGGGTCTGGACAGGAGACTCAGAGGGAACGAGGGAGGGAAGAACAAGGGAGGGAGAGAGGAAGAAAAACACAGGCTGATGTAACAGTCAACCCGTCTGGGATGGAAGAAAAGAAGCAGAGAAAATAGACACGTTTCAAGCTGGGATTGTTTGAAATTGTGACCCCGAAGAGGAGAGTGGCTGCACGTACGATGCAGATCAGAAACAGAAGCAGGTTAGCGCTTTAAATATCAAGTGAATCCACAAACTGTACCAAAACATAAACAGAAGACTGACACGTTTCACTTGAGCCCATCCAGGACTGCAAAGATCTCCAAGATGAATTTCAGTTGAAGCCTTTTCAACTTTTCCCTTCATATCATCCATATCCAGGTTTATGAACATATCACAAATATCACAATATCACCAGATGGTTTCACTTCTGTGGGTTATGTTGTAGGGTACATGAACAAGTGAAATTGTTTCCCTTTACCTGATTTTTTTCTAGTGAGCGAAAACAGAAATACTTAGCTGATCTTTACCCATCTTAAAGGGGCAGTATCACGTAAAATCTACTTTTTGGAGCTTTACATCATGTTATAAAGTTAATCCTTTACCAAAAACATACCTGGAGTGAGAATATGATTCTTTAATCCGTTAATCTCCCATGGCAACCCTTCTTACGCCTGGTTGGACCTTGCGTAAGAACCTTATTAAAGGGTTAAAAGACGAGCCTTATTGTGACAACTTCCTAAAGGTGGAGTTTCAAAAAGAGCAGGAGCTTCTTAAAGAGACAGGCCCAATTTCACTACGTTGAATTAGGAAGTCAAAGGTTTTTTTTTTAAGTCATATTTGATATACATGTAGCATTTTTAACTGAAGGTAATAAAGTCACTTGAATGTGCTATAAAATGGCACCATATGCTTGGAAAACCCATAATACTATTTCTTTAATATAGTACAAACGTACCAGATCCCAGAAAAGAAGTAAAAGAGGACTAAAAATTTTACATTTAGGTTGAGAAAATTTTTGAAAATTCAGGTTAACAATTATGCACTACTTTCTGTTGGTCAAAATTCTAACAAAAAAAAAAAAGATCCAAGTTAGTATTTGTAACATTGTCCAACTTCAAAGACAATTAATATTTATCCAAAACGCCATATAAAATTGGCAGAATAATTACTCCTGTATCAGAAAAACTTGACCAGATTATATGTTTTTGTTTCAGAAGCAGCAGCGCAAAAAAACTGAGATGTTTATATTGTGGAGAAAATTCTCTGCGCCAGTTTTGAGCCACTCCCCAAGCAAGGGATCATACCGGAACGATTTAATGTACACAAACTCGTCATCTTACATCTGACAATTCAATCTATTGGCAAAACATAAAAGAAGATTTGAGAGCTTTTTTTTTTTTTTTTTGTAATGATAATCAAGCAGATTAAAGAGGATGCCTATTGTTGCGGGCTGCCCACTATCTGTGTCAGCAGCAGCTGCAGGACGCCGCGGACGGATGTGGGCGGGTAATGGCCGATATTATTCATATTTTCCAGCTTATCAGCTTTACACGGAGCTGCTGCCGCCTGCAGACGCCCTGCGCTTAATGGGCTCTGAGCCGCTTTAATGAGCACAGCTGGTGCGACTGGGCCTTCTACAAGAACTTTCAGCATCTCGTTTTCACAACAGGTCAAGAATTTGTTATTTGTCTTAAAGGTTGCCATTAATTTGGAAAACTGTTTGACTTTGGAAATTCTTTTCAAAAAATAGAGCTGAACCGATCCGATATTAATATTTGAATCGGTCGTGAATTACAGATTGGGTATCGTTACGATGCTAAAAGCAATCCTGTCTAATTCTATGCTTTGTGCTCTGAGTGACAGCATGCTTTCTTTTTTTGACATATTTTGAATTCCTAATTTCACTTTCTGTACCATTCGAAAGAAGTTTGTTGCGCTTATTTTTTAAAAAGGTTGACCAAAATAGTCAACTTGTTGTTTTTTTTGTCAGTGTCTTTATTATTTATTTCACACTGGCTCTTCTACTCTTAATTGCACCGACTGAACAAATCAAAGTTGAGTTGATTCTACATGTTTAACCAAACTTGTGACGCTATTGGTGTTTTTAGTTGTGCCGTACTGCTGCCGAGTTACCACATAAATGTGTAATTCAAAACATTTATGTTTGCGTTTTACAACAAAATGCATAAGTTAATTCAGCCGATATCGATATCAGAAGACCAAAAAAAGCTGAGCTGTGCTTCTCTAAATCGAAAACGCAAGATGCACCACACCAAATGGACTTCGAGAAAGGACATTTAATTCCACGAGGAACATCAACATAAGTGCACTTTCATTTTTAGTACACTTCTTGTGAACAGACATAACCTTGGAGGAAAAAAGACGTAAGTAACAGACAGAAAGAGAGAAGGAAGGAGGCTAGAAACTTTAAGAGAAAGGTGAGGAGGAAAAAAGAGAGGAGGGAACACAACATTCATGTTGAGAAACGGCTCAGAGATCCCGTCCCGGCTCGGGGACACGGAAAATAAATACACTCACAGTCATCATGGTGGAGCTGGTGCATTAGAGTCCAAAAGTGTCCGACAGAGCAACATTGCTCCTAAAATTGTCCCAAAACATTTCAACGGGTGAAGCAACAATATTGCAGCAGTTCATGGATGTAGCACTGGAGGGACAGAGTGGGGCGGTGTGGAGGAGCAGCCAGTAGCTGCATTTCCACAAAAAATGTGCACAAAACTTTGTCAATATCCCACTGATCTCGGGGGAAAAAAAACAAAACACAATTTAGCAATTTCTATTAAAGAAGAAACACAACTAACATCAGACGTGAGTAAGTTCAGACACGCGATAAGTCATTACAAGACATTGTCCAACTGCTTCTTGTTGTCTTCTTCGTGACTTGCACTAGTGGTAACATCCTGCTGTCCATCATGTGACTCATGTGAAACAACAAAAGCATTTCCACTGCAATTGTGCGAAAGAAACTCATTTTGATACAGCCACAAAAAAAAAAAAAAAAAAAAAACACCTCACCCTTGAGATAAAACATTTTAATCAGAAAACTAGAGATGTTTTAAAATTGACATGGCTCCATGAGGTAAATTTACTTTTGAAATGTCAAATTGTGCAATTATACGGTCAATGGAAACACAGTTAGTGTTTCAGCAACAGGGCTAATAAAAATGAGTGATACACATCGCTGAACAATACTCTCTAAATTACAATGAGCCTATGAGAACAAAGTTTAAACATTTCTGAAATGCAGAAATAGTCAGCCTGGGTTTGATGGGGCTTCATATATTACTGTTTAGATTCTTGTCTCAATCCAAGGTAGGCCTAAAAAATAAAATAAATTAACGGTTTCATAAATCTAATGTGTTTTTAAAAAAATACCGCTTCAGTGCAGACATATCCAATCGAAACAATGCTGATGCAACTGAACAAAAGCTATCAGTTCTGTTAGCACAGCAGCATTAGCATTATTAAGTTGACTGCCAAAAAATCTTCTGATTTGATAAAGTTAATGTTAGCTAAATAAAACTTTTACCCAATTCTTCTCACTGTTGTCCATGACAGGACAACATAACCAGACTTACAAAAACATGTCCTCATGTCTGATAATGTTGCACAGACATGTTAAAAAAAAAACAGAATGAAGAAACTTAAGCTGATTATTTTATGCATTGTACAAGTGAAAAGACATCTAAACAGGTAATACTGTTTAGATGTATGCTCAGCTTTATGCCATGTATAATTACGGCTTAAAGTTAAAGTCTGCGCAGCAAAATTTACTCCCCAAAAAATTATTGTTCCATATAATGAAATATGAATATAGCAAACACAAACAAAAAAACAAACTGTGCGGTCATGACAACTTTTAGATCTTTTGGAAATATGTTTTATGAATTTGGTATTATGAGTTTGGTTTTTTTTATCACATGATGTCATGCCTTTATGTTTAAATTTAGGATTTAAATTGTTCATCTTGGTAATTTAATCTGATGAGCAACAGGAACAATCATAGAACTTTTAATGAAATTATATGTCATGTTTTGACTTATTTTTTATATTAAATTATCTGTTAAGTCTAACATAATACTGTTTAAAAAAAGCTAAGTCTGCCCTACGTTTGAATTATTTAATAGATCTCTTACTATTACTAAAAGACATAGATAAAGACATAGATAAAGACATATATAATTATTTTTCCTGAATATGTGAAGCTAACACATATATCCAAACTTTTTATAATAGTGGTTCTTGATGTCACAAACTTGCTACATACCTGATAGAAAAGCTGTTGATGGTCAATTTTGACTTCATCTCATGCTACACTGTGCTATCTGTGGTGATGAAGACTCACTCACCTTAGCATGGCTGAAGCTCGATACTGAAAGTGTAATGACTTTAACTACTTTCCGACTGGCTGACATTTGTCTGATAAACTGGGAGAACTCGTTGGGCATTGACAACTGACTCCCAGTTGGCTAGTTGATCCTTCAGTATGACAAGAAAAAAAACCCCCAAAATTAAAAAAATAACTCACCAAAGTTTGGCATCACAGCAAGATGAACGGGAACAGTGAATTCCACACTTTTGATCGGTGCACATGTACTATTTACAACACAAGCCCATCAAGATAAAAAAGAGAGACAATTCATTCTCCTGAATTATGTATGTTTCATAAATTCTCCATTGTTTCCTCATGTCTGGACCTTAGAAACAAATGTTCTTTCAATACACACACACAAACGGCCAGTTAGCTAGCTAACAGTGTGACAGCAGCTTTGAATTTAGATTCACATTCCATTCCTAAGAGTTATAATTTGTCTATAGAGCTGGGTTGTGATCCTCTGTGCTTTTCATATGCAGAAGGTGGATGAGGTCATGCTAGCTGAACCTGATGTTAAACCTAATAAAGATTAAGAGCAACAAAAAAATAAAAACACATTTTGGAGCTTTTCAAAATAAATTTCAGAAGCTTGTTTTTTTTTTTTTACATGAGTTTCAGAAAAAACATTGTCTCGTACTGGTCAAAACTTATGGAAGGCCAAATAGGACAAAACTAAACAAATATATCACTAAATCGTTTATTTAATATTGAGTATCAATCATTAATTGATTTGAATTTAAATCACTAAAATTCAAACCTCGTAAACATTTCTTTAAATCTATGTTTAATTAATTCATAGTTTCTGCTCCTGAAATAGTTTCCTCTGTCAACCGTGTTCATCAAAGTAAAGAGGCGGGGCTAAAACTGTTTGTCAAACTCCACAACTTTAGCCTCATTCTTTAAAAATTGTGACATTTGATCAGTTGTTCGACCTTGTGGTCCAAATGAGAGCCTCTTGCTTCTACGTTGTCTGCTATTTGTAAAATTGAATTGAACTGATAATCTGCGTCGTATCTGATCCTTTAGTTTTGTCCCTTTTGGCCCTCCGTAGAAACTGAGATGCTTTGTGTAAAATATGTTATTTCCAAAGTTGTTGAAAAAACACACTAGATAACCATTTTCTATAATTAACTTCACAAGAGGATGAACAGGAGATGCAGCAGAGGCCGATTATTTCTTCAAGCCCTAAAAAACCCAACAGCTGCTGAGAAGCTATTGAAGGAATGTTAGTGACCTGGAAGAGCAGCAGAAGAAAAGACTTTGATAACTTTAGCAATTCAGTCAATGTTTTCAGTAGCATAGAAATACTGCTTTTTTTTTGGGGGGGGGGGAGGGAGGGGGGTTACCTTCAAGAGAGTAAACTTGATCAAAGAAAGTACAATACAGAAATAAGACAGTCTGAAAAATAAAGGCGCGTGAGTAGTTACATTACAGCTGCAGATGACAGACAGTGCAGATGAGGATGGAGCAAAATTTTTCAAAAGAAAAAAAAAAGAATAAACTTAAAAAAAAAGATTTGAAACTGAAGCGGTTTTGAACATATTTTCAGGTTTGATTCAGGTTGAATTCTTTCAGTTTCAAGATAATTTTGCAGTTTAGAATCCTTTCTCCAATTTAATTGTTTTTTCTTTTGAAGAAATGTTATGGCCCCAATTTAGCTCCACAGATGAGTTCTGTTTTTATTTTTCACAACTCATAAGTTTTGTGGGATGCACCAGTAAGTTTCTGCACCAGTTTCTTCGAAGCGGTGCATAAGTTTCTCTCGCCTCGCCCAGACGTCGCTAAACAGCCATCTCGTCCCCCAGACAGTCCGGCAGACTCTCTGAATTCAGCACGCTGAGGAGCCGTGCGGCACCGTCCGCCCCGGCACCCTCTCCCTGCCCCCAGCTGTCGCGGTCGTCGCTTTCGTCCGTGTTCGACTCATACTCCGACCCGATGCCGGACTCTCTGAAGCGCAGCAGCTCCAGGGCCCCCAGCACCTGCTCCCCCAGCAGCGAGCTCTCGTCGCTGGGCGTCTCTCCAGCGTCCCGGCCCCCGGCCAGGCCGTCCGACACCAGGGAGGAGAAGCGGAAGCACTCGAGTCGGACGCCGCTGCCGCTCGGCCCCAGGGGGACGGAGTCGGAGTCGGCGCCGGCGGCGCACGGGGAGCAGGGCCTGGACAGGGCCGAGAACCAGGCGGCATCAGCGATCTGGAGCTGGGAAGGAGCTGCTAATGGGCCCGCGGATGAGGAACGGGTCATGGATGCACCAGGAGCACCAGGGGGCTTGGCGCGGAACGTGATCTCCAGAAGACTGTCCTGGGAACCCACTGACATGACATGAAGGAGAGAAGAAGATTGTGTTGAAAGTTCCCTTTACAAATAGTCACAAAAACTTTACTGATATTCCAATAATGTTGGAAGAACACAATTTCACAAATTGCTGTGTTTCCGTTAAATAAGAAAGACAATTGAGATCAAACATGAATACATTTGTTCTCGCAATAAGTAACTAAAAAAAACCATCATCCTCAACTACTTCCTGTCTTCTTTGTCTTCTTCATAGTTTGCACAGATTCTTTTTTCAAGGTAACATCCAGTTCCTGTGACTCGTTTGATGTGTTTTCATGGCATCATTGCAAAACAAACCAATTTTGACACAGTTAAAAAAAAGAAGAAAAGAAGAAAAAAAACTAATCCGAGGCAAAATATTTTTATCAAAAAATAAGAGTTGTTTCGATATTGGTGCGTTTCTGTTAAGCTGATGTTCTTTAGAAATATCAAACACAACCATTTTGTAAAAGAAAATGATAGAAAATAACTGCTGTGTGTCTTGTGAATGATCTCAGTTACATACACAGAAGTTAATGTGACTACGTGTCAAAAAGTTCACGTTACGAATCCTTCTGCATGGCATCGACTGGCAGGAAGCAAGGAAGAGGTGGAACTTTAGGATTCGCATAAAACCACAGAAAACAAGACCAATAAATCTTCTCTGCAGAGAGGGAGAAGCTGCACAGAGTGGGATGATGTCAGCGCTGACAGGGCTTCACAAGTAATTACTTCATGCTAGCTTATCGCCACTGGCTGGATGCAGGGAAGAGAGGGGGGGAAGAACAGAGATCTTTACTGCATTCTCTGACAGGCCTGTCATGGGATAATTAATTGCGTGCCGGCAGTGGATGATAAAAAGGAGCTATAACCGGAAGATAGGGTGAGAAAATCAAACCAGAAAAAGGGAAAGAAGAGAGGAGATGGGGAAGGGCGGTTTGAAGTTTTGCCGAGAAGAAAATAGAAAAATATAAAAAAAATAAAAATAAACATGGAAGCGAAGCTGTTTGTTCACTCACTAGACGTTAAGTGTCCAGCCGATTTGAGCTCCAGCTCCTGGATCTGCTTGACCAGCAGGGAGATGTGCTGCAGCAGGTCGGTGTTCTGCTGCAGCAGCCTCTGGACTCGGGCCTGGGCCTCAGTGCGCGCGCACATCTCCACCGACAGCTGCTCCTGCAGAACGTGGACCTGCACAGCACACGTCGATGAAAACAAACGTTTTTTTTTTCCCCTTCGTGCCTTTTGCTTCGGAGGCAAACTGCTCAAGAATGGAACCTCCGTTTGAGACGTTCGGTTCCTCCTGGTTTTTCCAGCCTTATCTTAGTCTGATTTATTGGGAAAAAAAAAAAAAGACAGGAAGTGACCTGAGCGGAGGCTGCCAGCGACTGCTGCTCTTGCTGCTGGAGCTGCTTCTGGAGCAGCTGGACCTGGTGCTCTGCGGAGCAGGAGGCCTCGGTCGCAGGCTGGGTCAGGGAGGAGGCCTCGATGACGGGGGAGCTCAGCAGGAGAGGACAGTCCTCACACACCTGAACACACGGAGCAGAACCAGATCAGCTCTAAATGTCACAGACCCGTCTGACGTCTCGCTGCTTCAGATTTATTTACTTACTCAAAACAGATTTTCTGAGTCAACTTGTAATCACTTTGTTCATGTGGTATAACTTATTTGTTGATTCTTCAGCACGACATGTCAAACAGGCATTGTACCATAAAATGGTTTTAATGACTGATTTCTGATAATTATTGAGTCTGTATATTTTATTAAATGGAGATTAGGGGTGAAATTAAATAAGACTTCACTTCTTCCTACTCCTTTTTAAACAGAACAGAAGCGGTAAGCTAATTGGTTTTGTTCTCTTGTCATTTTTTGTTTTTTCAAAAACCGGTTTGAAAAAAAAATAAACAAACAAACAAATAAAACGGAATGAAAGTCCCTGGTTTAGATATATCATATTTGAAGAATTCAAAAAATATTTATGGTGAACAGTATAAAACCTTTCACCTTTCTGACGGTGTTATGGGTTTTCCAGCCACATAGTTCCAATCAAGTTTCTATGTTACCTTTCAATTGTTATAAAAATGCTGTATATCATGTGACTTAAAAGAAACTTCACAATGTAATGCCTTGAAAATTGCGCTTCCGTCTCTTTAAGAAACGCCTGCTCTGTCTGAAACTCCGCCTTTAAATGAAGTAATTATTTTATTTGGTGTCACAAAACTCAACAGTTTCATTTCACTACTTGTTCTCCCTGTGCATAAGTTGATTTTCTCCGGGTACTCCGGCTTCCGCCCCGATCCAAAAATTTCACTAAGGTCACGAGGGGTCAACAGCAGAACAGTACTCACTCTCTTTTCTTCATGTACATGCCTCGGTTTATGTTGTTAATATTATTGTTAATTATTGTACTCTTTTATTACCAGCCTACTTCCTTAGAGATGCTGTTCATAAAAGGGCTGCAAATTAACCCACGCTATAATCACCATGATGCAGACATAGGACTGCTGCTTTATTCAGTTCGGTTATTGTCCCTATCAAATAAGCTCAATAAAACAAGTGTAAAGAGACACAACTTCCCCCCTCCGACTTCATCCGTCCAGATTCAGATGTCTTCAATTTGCAGTTCTGGGCACCGATCGTACCACCAGCGGCGCTCAGAGACATAAATCTGAGTGATGGCGCTCCTGATGATGCAAAAGCTATTAAATGATTTCCTGAGTGGCTGAATTTCATTAGCACGCTGCATGCTAATGAAGCCAAGCTGAAGCAGAAAACAAAAAGCACAGAACTCATGGAGGATGTTGCGGGGAAGACGGCTCCCCGTGAGGCCCAAACGCAGGAGGGAGAAGAGACGGAAAGCAGTTTGATCCGTCATCACGTTGGATTAACGACTGGAAGAGCTGCAAGGTTTAAGAGCGGTCTTCTGAATGGTCAATCTACCAAAGTAAAAAAAAAAATAAAATAAAATCATAATAATAAAAAAGGCATCCTGATGGGATATGACAGCCGTCTGCAACTGCTTAGCATTCATGTAAAAGATGAATCACTGCTTTGATTTACAAGTCAGGGAACGGATTAAAATTCCCTCACTAAGGAGATTTAATAAGGAAAAGGCAACATCATCTTGACCAGAGGAAGTGAAAATGAACAAACGCATAAAAAGATGGAAACTGGGGCGCAGGTTGTCAAAGCTGGCCGTTTGCTAAGAGAATGACTAAGAGGAGACTGTCCTGTTTGGTCTGCTTTGATCCAACTAACCCACTTCTGTTAACGTTTCTACCCTCACAGTTACTCCCACTAGTACAGCAGCTCTCAAACTTCTTTCCATTATTCCTCTATATCTGATGGTTGCTTCATTGTTAGCCGACTGAAAAGAAAAAGTATTTAGCTAACCCAGTAATCTGGGTCAGCTAAATACTTTTGATTTTGCAAAAATGTTGAGGTGGCAGAAGAAAAAAAAAACAGCACATACGACACGACTGAAACCTGTGTCGCCGTAGCACCGCATACCTAGCAACACTCATGTATGGAGTAATAACGGGTGGATGTTTGAGAGCTGCTGTATTAGTGGGTGTGTGATTGCATGTGAGAATCAAATATGTTCAGAAATGGTCTAAAAGCTGAGAATCTGATCGTTTGAACTCCTCAGGGAGGATGATGTAAAGAAACACTGTGCTGCTTTCATCTTCATGCAATAGAAACATCAAATCCCCTGATTAATGCTATGCTAACATCTTGTCTGATGGTCCAAAGCCTGAGCATAATAACATTCATTGAACCCCTTTAAAAGCGTTTGCATGATGTGTATTGACTTTGATGAGAAATGGACTCATGACTGTGATGCTTGAATTCGGGATATTTTATAAAATAATCTAATGCTTGGTTTGAAATATTGCAACTGGCCGAGTCCATGTTCAGATTTGAAGAGACCGCAGTTTTAAAATCAGCACCACTCATTGCCATGGAGAACCGATCCCAGTACTACCCAGAAAAATAAATACCCGTCCTGCCGAGCTTGTTTATATCAGAACTACATTATCTGACTATTTATTGTTCTTTTCCCTCCCCACAACCCTAGAAGAACAGAAAATCTTGTTTTCTATTTAACATCCGAGGCAAAACCAGGCTGCTGTTATTGTGTGAAAATCACAAAACAACAGATCTTGATGTTAGCCTCTAATAAAAGCTCAAGACTGAGAAGTGAATTTGCCAGTGAAGCCGTGGGTTATGAGGCTCTTATATGAGGAACAAATTACGACACAAACGGCCCATTAACCGCGCAGCGGGCAGCTCTGTTACTCAGAGTTCGGCCGGTTAAATAACACTCCTAGTGAAACTGTGGCTAAATCAATGATGAGAAAGAACATGAAGTGTGTCCTTTTCATTGCCTTTACCTTTTAGAAAGACAGGTGCATTTTGCGAAAGTCGAATATCTAATCCGCTATCAGAACTCTTAATTCTTAGATACACTTTCAAGAATTTGAAAAAGGACATATTACTTAAAGTATTCTTTTATTTAAACTGACTCTCTTGCCTTAGTAACTGATATCATCATTTGTAAACTGCTTTTTGCATTTTAATCTTATCGTTGTTTGGTTTTAAAATCGGGTTGATGATCTGAAACTTCATCAGGCAATCATCACAACCGGAATCCTCTGTTAACCCTTTAACAACGCTTTTATCAGCGTTTCTTTGAGAAGTAGTTCCTATAAAGAGCTCAGCAGATGAAGAGTTCCACTGGGTATTTGCTAATTGCTTCTGGCTAGTCTGAAGGAGCTGAGTGGGGGAGGATACTTGAGGCAGAAACTTGGGTACTGCAACTCTGAGGAGGAGCTTCTTCTTGAAGGTGGAGCTATGACCACCCAGGCATTTTTCACAGCTCAATGGTTCCGATGGGAGATTCAAGGATTTCTTAAACATGCATTTAAAAAAATAAAAGCTAAGCAACGTTCTCTGTATGGTTTTAATGAGAGATTAACATTATAACATCATGTAAAGATCAAAAATGTTAATTTACATAATAATGTCCTTTTAAGATCGTATACATAATCCGCCATGTTGTCAGTGATGCTACAGAGAAAGTGTAGGAAAAGCAGGTGAAAAGAATATGAATAAAATCTCAAATCTAAGATCAACATGGTAGCATCTGATAAACACCTGACCTCCAAACAATAGTTTATCACCACATGAACACATCTCCCCAGACAAACAAACCAAAAAACAAATATAGAAGAAAAAAGTTCACTTCCTTGTCGTAAACCCTGAAAGCATTTCTGCTCAAACAGGGCAGCACCGGTTTTCTCCCACTGCAGCGATAAAGCGGCCGGCGCATCAGAGACTCGCACAGCGGCAGTCAAATATCGGGAAACAGGCAGCAGCTTGTCCAACACGCCGAGATTAGCAGGAGTACGCAGTGATCTCATCAATAAACCATGTGGTCTCATCAATACTGAAGAGGCCTTGTGGAGCGTTTCTCCACAAACAAGAATCAAAAGTGTGCGTGCTCAATGCGCCGAGAATCCCTCGGAGCTGTTTACCAACTTCATTAACGCTTCATGAGGCGAAACCTTCAGCCTGGCTTCATCTGATTCAGGGATTAGTATTTGTACCTTTTTAGATCTTTCTAGTTTGTTTTTTGTTGCACTGGTGATCAAAGTAGCAAAACTACTGTTTGTTTAAGCAAACAAGTGTAAAAATTATTACTTTAATGACTGCTCTGAGTAATTTAGTTTAAGTGCTGATCATTATTTGGGGGAGATTTTTTTGGTTTTTTTTGTGCATGTGCAATTACAAAGTATTTTCATTATTCCACCCTTGCTCTTTGTCATGCCAAATAAATAAGACCATGAAGTTTTTAATAATTTCATGGATTTTTCTGTACTAGATTTGATGGTTTTTAAAAGACGGTATCACATCTACACAGAGACACAATTTACTAATCAGATGAATTCTGAATTCTACTCTGGACTTCATTTCAGGGTGTCAGAGTAAAGGAGTGTCATACAAATATTTGCATACTATGTTGATAATGCTTTTCCTTGAACTTTATTGTAATAAGATGCTTTATTTTGGACATAAAATTATGTCGTAATGTGAAAAGTCAGAGAGCTTCTACTTTCTTAAAGCCAGGAGAACTATTTGAAAACATCAGAAGAATAACTGGTTTCAAATTGATCAAGGACGACAGGAGTGAGCCGCACCTCACCTTGGCATTGGCTCCCAGGGCCTCGCCCTTTTTGTTCTTCTCCAGGTCTGACGAGGAGACGCACTCGATGCTCTCCTCCGTGGTGCCTTCGAGGTCCGTCTCCTCTGACAGCGCCAGCCTCTTCTTCGCTGTGGAGAGAACAACACGCGTCACGCGGAGCTCGCGCCGCGTCTTGAGGGGGCGACGGCTGCCGCATCAGTGGGCGCCGAGCCAGCAGGAGTTCATACGTGGTGGATCTTTGATCTGTGGTCCTGGTTGACTCATATAAAACAATCAGCATCTTTCATTTAAAAAACAAAAGAGAGAAAAAAGAACTGACAGCGCGGGAGGATAATATTTTTCCAGAATTGTCACAAATTTGTGTTTCTTCTTGAGCAAAGCCTGACATTTGGGAGGAGAGCAAAGTGAAGGGAGGTGTTTTGTAGTTGCGAGCGGGTTGGTGTGTAGGTGTGAGTAACCTGGTGCTGCCTCCAGCTCCTCCACCCTCCCCTCTTCATCCTCCTGATCCTCGCTTTTCTGCTGCAGGGTCAGCTGGTGACACACATCGAATGCCTGACCCACGGTCCGCACGATCCTCATGGCCTGAGACTGAGTGGGAGGACACAGAGGAAGGGTGTGTGAGTAGTGAGGGCAGAGCGAGGCAGCGCGATGAAGAGCACATTATGAAGGAGACGTCTAATTAGGCCACGCAGCAGGCGAGGAAACGGGCTGCCGGAAGAGACGGAGTGTGACCATTTTGTTCAGGTGATGGAAAAAAAAATGACAATGAAACTGGAAAGAAAGACACAAATTGAGGAGAAAATTGTGACAGAAGGACAAACACTAAAGGTCTTTTCAAACATTATTTGCAAACGTATACACACACACACACACACACACACACACACACACACACACACACACACACACACACACACACACACACACACACACACAAGATTCAAATGTTTTCAGAATGCACTCTGATTCAGCAGAGTGCAGAATGCATATAGTTTCCACTACAAGCATCTTCTCTATACTTGTACTATATTTATCAGTGATTTTACTAGTGTAAAACGTTATACTTGCAGATGTTTGTTGCTATTGCTTCTCATTTCTGTTTTCTCCCTTTCTGGAGGTTTAGAGGCAGATTTCTAAGTCGTTGTGTTTGGCCCTTCCTCACAACTCTCTCAGTCAGCTCCTTCGGACTAGCCAGCAGAAATGAGCAAACGCCTGATAAAACTGAGCGTCTGCTGAGCTCATTGTAGGAGCTACTTCTCAATGAAACACTGGTGAAAATGTTAAAGAGTTAATAGAGGAGAGATGTCGTGATGACTTCCTGAAAGCAGGGTTTCAGACAGACGACCCATTTCATGGCGTTAAATTACAAATTCACATTTCTTTGATGTCATATTGATATATATGACATTAAATATGGCATATATTTAATATCATTTTTATAAGAACAGGACTTAACACAGTTACTTGATTGTGCACTATGTGAATGTTAAATACATAATACTGCCCCTTTAAAGCCACTGAGTGTAACATATTTGATCCCAAAGAGCTAATATCCACATAAATACTGTTCCTCCTCTGATATTACTGTTTTCTAACCTGAGAATCAGTGCTGACTGGTTTAAGACATCAGGACTTCCACAGTCAATTTCTGGCCTTTTTCTCCCCCAAGAAGCTCCAAAATGTGCACCAGAGACAGCCCTCTAAATCAGGCAGAATGATAGGCTGTCCGCCACGTCCTTCCTCAGTCTCACTCAAGGTGATGTTTTCAATCTTGGGAGCTGGCAGGAGTCGTGTCAAAAATAAATTCATTGCTCCCGTGCCCCTGGAGGATCCTCGCGCCCGAAACCACTCAGTCGATGTGTCAAGGTAGCTCGAGCCTGAAAGAGGTTTAATCAAACGCAACGGCAAAATACATTTCGACAGAAAAACCCAGAAACGGTGAAATTGATTAGGGTGCCGTGTCGTTCACAGATCAGAGGGCTGAATTTTAGCTTCAGAAGCGTAAAGTTGACAGAACAGAAGTCAAACACAAAAGGGCTGCGTTGATGATTTTGACATCTGAAAGCTTTGTGTGCCACGGCGTGCCGTGACAAAAATACATCAAATCTCCTCTAAATCAGCTCCTCCCACTCAGCGCACATGGTTGGTCTGCGGCACAAAGATAAGGCTTCACAGACCCGGGGAGGTAGAGGAGCGAAGGCACCACTGACTGCGTGCGCGACAATGGGGTGGGCGTTTTGCTCGGCGCTGGTGAAAATGTCTTGAAGTGCCGAGCAACAACAGCGGCCCCTTTCCTTTTTCCTTTTCCCACCAGAGCGATTAGCATTCAGCCTCACTAAGTCGTTGTCGGCGCCGTATCCATGGTGAAGGGATGGGAGTCAACCTCGCCGATGCTCCGTCTGAAGGAAAAACTGCCTCGGCTCGCACTCTTTCAGACATGTGGGAAACAACATGACTCTGCTTTTCTTTTTGTTATGTTGAGCGTTCCCGTACTCTGCCTCGCAAAAGTGTTTGTGACCTTTGAACTTTGACATATTTTGCCATGTTACAGTCACAGAGCAAGAGGAAGGAGTGCAGAATCGCAAAGTGGGGAGGGAAATTATGCAGCTTTTTTGAAAAGTTCATCAGAACAAACCATCATTGTGAAACATGGTCCTGAGAAATTGGTCGTTAGCTGCATTTCTATCGACCGTATAACTGCACAATTCGACAGGATAAATTTGCTTATTGGAAACACGACAATTTGAAAAAAAAAAAAGAAAGAAAAACTTGCAGGAATTTAATTTTCTAAATTGAAGCTGGTGGAGATAATGACTAAATCCTAATTGCAGCAAATGATGGTTGGAAATGTATTGAGCTGTGATTGAGCACACAACATCAGATAAATACAAATAAATAAAAAAAGTGGAACGTTGTGGTTTTATCACACGGTTTTGTGCAGAAGCAAAGGAAAACTTCAGATGAATAACAATCTGCAAAGATTCAACGTCCAAACATCTGGTGGTTCAAATCTAAGCAACTCCCTACAGAAATGTCTGGAGAAAACGAGGCACTGGCTGCTCAAGTAGCTACTCCACATTTCCCAACAAACCAGCTCCATCGCATCCCTTGAGGTTACTCAAGAACAACAAATGAAGATGCTAATTGTCAGGTGCTAGTTAATAAAAACAAGAGAAAATGTTTTTTAAGAAACACAGCAAACCAATCAGACTTCAGTGAGCTGAAACACTAATGCAGCTTTATCAAGTTGGGTTTTTTTTAATGTTATAAAATAATGATGAGGATCACAAACATGTCATCATGCATTTCTGCTGTAACCCTGCTTCCTTTTGTGAAAAGACTGCAGGTGTATTGAAAGTTGCGCTACAAACAGCTGAATGTGAGAAAATGAAAAGTGTTTTAGTGGAACATGAGGCTCAGTTATGGCTTTGAATGATGTGTGCTGATATTGATGTGCTCCTCTTCTGAATAGTGCATGTTTACTGGGATCAAGGGTTCAGTGGATTTCAGTGCTCTGGATGGGCTAAATTATCTTTTATTTTATTTTTTCCATATTCATGGACAATTAAATTGACCAATTTGGGAATGACATTTCAGTGATGTAAGGTCAAATAATTAGGAATCACAAGTAGTATTAGCTAGATTAATTAGGAGCATGTGGTACATTGGCATTAACATAACAGTGTTAGTCATTTCTAACATATCAATTTTGGTCCAATGAGTGAAACTGGGCTGATGTTATCTACCAACGATATTTTCATTCTGTTGGCATTTGTGAATGAGTCGGCTATGTATTATTTGTTTGGGCGTCTGACAGTAATGCAGCGCAGGATCGCGTGGGTTTTAACTAGAACAAGGAAGAAATGTCAGCTGTGTGTTGCACAGTGCTGAAAAGGTAGGAAGATATATATACAGATGTTGAGGGACCCCAAAATTCAGAAGCCACAAGATAAAAACAGAAGCTACAAACACCAAAAAGCAACACAATAAAACTATGGAAGTTATGCGAGCAAGTTTATTCTGATTTCTTTCGTCGCTCTGTCATTTTTTTGTCTACCATTTTGGGCCACTGTAATATCGTAAATATAATAAACCGTTATATTAGAAATATTACTGACACTGGTCTAAATTTTTATATCAATGCATCTATAATATTAGTCAGAAAGGAGGATAGGCAGTCGTTTATCACTTTCAGCTTCAAGTATCCAGCAGGCTGAGGTGAGTTTTTCCTCTTAAATAACCGAAATTATTGCTGTAAAGTTTTGTCTGTGTGACTTTACAACATGCAGTGCTATATTAGGAAAACAGCAGCTCTAAAACACATGCAGAAAAGACACATAACTAGAGGCAGACTGAATTTTACATTCCGAGGAAAGTTTTCATTCTCACAAAAATGATAGGAAGATCTGCGACAACCAATAAACCGTCAAGTCCAAAGAGCTGTATCCGCCCTCCCCCAGTTTTGTCAGGAGTAGGCGGGCGCCGGCTGGTTGTTATAAACAGCGCAGCTGGACACACAGGTTCCAGCAATCAGGGTGAAAATAAGCCGCAGAAGCTGTCTGAGCCGCTGGGACAAAACTCAAGTAAAGGAATGGAGGCCGCTTTATCAGGACGTGGCATCAGCAGCAGCTTGAAAGGAGAGGTCAGCCGCATCAAGGAGACAGAAGCACCAGGGTGGATGGAATGCATAAAGTGGAGGACAAGCGGAGGAGGACAGAAAAAAAAAATCAATACGAGAGAAAAAAAAAAGACTTAAAATGGCTCCAAGCAGCTCTGCCTGCAGAGAAAGACTGCAGTGAGAGCAGCTCGCCAGCCGAGTCGTCATCTAAGGGTCTAACTTCGCTCTTTGAGAATATCTGGAACCCGTTTGCATCAAGGTATCTGAAATCACGTTAACCTCACATTTTTACATTCCGTTTGCCAAAATAATGGGAAAAGTAGACCGTGAAACGAATAAACAATCATCCCGCCAAGATTGACTTTATTTCAATTGGTTAGTCTGTGTTAATTGCTTGAGCTGCAACCTTGGTTGCCATAGGAACGGTCATATGCGCAACAGAATGTCTGAGCATGCGACATTTTTACATTATTTCCATCGAGAGAGAGAGAGACAGACAGAGGCTGGGAGCCTTTTGGTGCTTCAAGGTAAATCTGCCATTCTTGTTTTTGTTTCCTGTCACAAATCTCCAGCAGATGGAGGGATGTTTAGATAAGGAGGTAAGGTTTTAGGAGGCATTATGAAATATGAGGCAAATAGGAATCAAATATGAGGCGCTTTGCTAGTCTCTCACATTGTTGTGGAGGAATTCTGGATCTCTCATCTGTGCAGCATAACTTTAAGCCCTCAGGTTAAATCTCCACTATCTTCCTGCCTGGACCTGGTTTATGAATCACATGCCTTGAGTGAATTCCTGCACTTTAAGGTTTATCTTGATGTTTGTGCATTTTCAAAAGTTTGTCATTTAAGCAGACACTTTTATTTCCAAATCTTCCTGGAATCTCACGATGAAAGTGACATAAAATCATCACAGCTCGTCTCAAGTACTCAAGAGAGTCTCGTCGACACTGAGGAAGTATATTTAGAGTCTTCAGCTGCTGAGGGTTCCACTCACCTTCCTCTTAGACTTGAACACATTGCAGCGGAAAACGTTGCTCTGCCCGTCTCTGGCGATGTAACTGAATATCTTCAAGTCTTGAGCGTCGTGCGAGACGTAGAAGATCCTGAAGGCAACACAAGATATCAGGTCAGCGGGGTTTCATTAGCGTCCTCGACTCAGGTTGATTTGGGATCTTCCTCGTCGCACCTGTAAATGGGGTCTTGTGTCACCAACATGGAGCTTTCATCCCATGACCAGCCCTTTCTCTGTAGCAACAACAACAAAAAAAAAAACCTGGTCATTGACACAATACGCAGGGTTTCCCATAGTGTGTGCTTTACTTGCCTCCCCCCACTTGCCTAGGTATTGTTTGTTTATTTACATTTTTTAAAACTGCATTAACAGTAAATACAGATTAAGCTAGGTGTATAGTTGAACTGGGCGCCAACCCGGCACCAGCCCATTGCTTCACATGCTACTATTTCCAAATTCTGAATCGTTGTAATTTTAAAGGAGTAGTATCAACTTTTTTGAACTTTACTTCATATTATAATGCTATTCCCTCATCACAAACAAACCTGGAGTGCTGCCTTTCCTGCATGTCTGAGAAATCCTTTAACATTTGGTGGACCTAACGCCACATTCGAGATGCAGCTCTTCCACAGAGCTGCAGTTTCCAAGCTTCCAAACTCCACAGAGCAGCCCTACCCTGTCTCTTGCCCATTCAGCTCCTTCAGACTAGCCAGTAGGAATTAGCACCTGGTGGAACTGCACATCATTATAGAAGCTACTTCTCAGTGCAGCACTGGGATAAACATTGTTAAAGGGTTAATAGAGGAGCCATGTTGTGATAACCTCCTGAAGGTGGAGCATCAGAAAAAGCTGGAGTTTTTAAAGGGGCAGAGGCCCAATTTCAAGGTGCCAAATAACAAAGTCAAATTTTATTCAAGTCATATTTGATATATAGCATTTTTAAAACAACTGAAGGTAGCAGAGTTACCTTACTGTGGTATGAAAAGGCTCTATGTCTGTGGAAAATATGTAACACTGTCCCTTTAATATTTTCAACACAAAAACGCAGTGGGCCACTGGTGGACTGACCTCGTGGCCCCACTCCGGGGCCTAGCGGGTTTTCTGGGGGAAATCCTGAACACAGTCAGTAAAGAGTTCAAATCAGTTCATGAAAAACTGATGGACTCTCTTCCGCTGGTCTTACCTTCTTCTTTTTGCGTAGGATCACTTTGACACAGTCGGTGGACACGAGTATGTTGACCTTCTTTTTCTTTATGTTCTTCAGCTTGAATTCGTACTGTAACGGAAGGAGAACATTTGTTCAACTTTGTGGGCTGGATATCACTGCTTCGATGAATCTCACTAGACAAACTAAATGAAAGCGAGAAGGGACCACCCCGCTGCAGGATTATTTTTATCTTCTCCATACGAGATAGAGTAAACATGGAGGAACTGTCAGTTTCTGTTTCTGGTAGATGCCTAAGGTTTTAAAGGCTGGCTCACCAGAGGGAGCCAGACGTGTGTGGGACACTTTCATCCCTCTGCATGATTAATGCTACATACTGAGCTTTCACTGCAAGCTCTGGCTCCAAATATCAAGGCTTTTGCTTTAAAAAAGAAAAAAAAATCCAATAGGATTAGTGGGGGATAAAAAAAAAAAAAACACGTCAAGCTTCAAAAATTCAAAGTCCAACTTCAGATGATTAACTGATCAGAGGAAGTTCTGTGAAATCAGAGGGCAAACAAATCCTCCTCATCTTTGCATGAAAAACTTGGATATTCTCTGTTATCTCTGCTTTAATTTTAGTAAAAATAACAGCTCTGAGCCGGGCCTCAGGAGGCTGCTTTATATATATGTAGATATATATCTACATATATATAAACCAGATTCAAAACTTGTACAAATACATTTTAAGGTTTGTAATACATGGCTCCACCAGCATTTAAGAACTCAGCTCAGTCCTAGTCAGATTGAATGAATAACATAATAATAATAATGATAAAAGAAAGCAGGGTTTGAATTTCCTATTTTTTCAGATTCATTTTTGTAAAACATAAAAATAACAGAAATGTTGTTTTTATTCCACTTCACACTTTTTGCATTTCACCCCGAGTCTCGTCTAGAAAGCCCCGGCGAGGGTTTTAAGGACGCCTCACGTTTTGAGTAGTCAGTATAATAACAGTTTAACAGAATCACTGCTGATAGATGCTTCTTCCAAAATGTAAGTTATCTAAAGGTGGGACTCCTAAAAACCTTTTGCAGTTGAATTAATTGCAGTGTCTGTAATTAATCGTAATAAACACTCCCTCCAGAAAATTTTGGTGATTTTTTTTGTTTGTTTTTTTTTTGTGATTGTTGCTGGCAAAAATTGCTGATTTTGTGGCACTTCTTTTGAAAAGCTGTGATCAAAGTTGCAATTTTTTTTAAAGGTTTGTTTTTTGAGGTAGAATGGGTTTACACCAATTCAAATACAATCGTGTCTGGAGGAGTTGTCACAGTGCAAAATAAGAGTTCCAAGTTAACATGAACTGTACACACAGGAGCTCGGTTGCAGTGATCGGTCAGAAAAGAAGGCCATACAGAAAAACGTCAAGATGATTGGTCGGACTAATTCAGGCGTAGAGAAATTGCATGACTAATTTTCTATGAGTGGTGAAAATTGCAAGTCAGCGCAAAATTGGTGACTGAATTTGCATTAGTAGCTGTGATCACAACATTTCAACTTTCTTGAGGGGATGAATTGAGTCACAGCATCAAGAAATATGTTTTTTTTTGTTTACCTTTAGATAAAAAGACTGAAAATCCAAGTACTTAATTAAACTTTTTTCATTTCCAACAAAGAGAGAAAAATCCATGTTGAGCAAAAAACCTCTTTAGTATTTGGATAGTGCTGAGCAACATGTAGCTTCCTTCATTATCATTTGAGCGGCTGCATTGAGCTCGTCTGACATCAGATCTCCAGCACGGTGTTAGCAATGTCTCCTAAAAAGTGAACGCCGTTGCTACTGTAAATCCTTGCCAGGAGACTAAAATGGCCAAAATGAGGAGCTGATGGCGAGGGATCAGGATTAAGTTTTTCCCCGGGTGTCAGTGGGGACGAGGCTGACCTCAGGCTGACACAACAACTCTGTTGTTAGATTAGATCTAACAGCTGACAAGCAAAGCAGCCAAATCCTCTGCGCTGCTGTGTGCCACTGCTGTGTGCCACTGCTGTGTGCCACTGCTGTGTGCCACTGCAGTGCTTCGTGTTTGGGCGGCCTCGTCTTGTGCAGGAGAATGTTCAGAGGATTTCTTTTTTTTTTTTTTCTTCCCCTCCCTCTTTCGTTCCCCGTATTTCATAGCAGGATTTAAACTGCTAGTGACAAGGCGCTGAACCTGACTGGTGTGTGCCGTGCGCTGACGGGGTGTGGGGGGGTGACCTGTGGGCGAAGACGACGTGGCGTGATCGCTGACGAAAACAGACAGTCGGGATGGAGATGCGTTCGGTGCGACAGCATGAGTGACTCTGACAGTTTGTTAAAGATTCATAGGGGCTATTGTCACCAGGTTTAAATATAGCATCTGTTTCAATGAAGTCGCTTGTTCTTACTCTGATTCGCCTCATCGCGGCGACGATCTCCATCCGGCTGCCGGGGCGACCCACCTCCAAGCTGCCGATGTACTGCAAGACAAGAGTTCAAAGGATTGCTTTTGGGTTTTGGCAAGTTGTCACGCTAGGCTTGAAACAATTAATCGGATTAATGCGATATCGAAGTAATCGTCAACTAACCGAGTAATCGATTAGTCGTTAACTGTAGAATACATTTTATTCGTCAAAAAAACCCACAACAGATTCAGAGCAGTGACGACGTCAAAACTGTAAAATAAATAATAAAATAAATAAATCTACATACATTTTGGATTTCAAAAACCTTTGTAACTATGTTTCATTCAAAATCTCCCAAGTGGCATTTTCTTTAAAAATATATTCGACTGGTTCATATTCACAAATGATTGCCATGACAATACAGTCAATCAATTTAGAAAAGGATTTTATTTGTTTATTGGCATCTTTTCCTTAAACCGTATGAATTTTTTTGGGGGGAAAGCACTAAGTGCTTAGATGGAAAATCTATAGAATGTGGTAAAAAAAAAAAAAAAATATCTGATTAGTCGATTAATCAATTACTAAAATAATAGGTACGGCCCTATTTCAAACAAATTTTCACGTAATAATCTTCCTTTCCCAGAAGGGAGGGGGAGACAGTCTGAATTTGCTGTCCAGGTCAAAAGTTTACATTCACTCATCAGTATCAGAAATAACAGTTTTGATTCATTGTTTTAGCTTTCCTTTTTCAATGTGGTATGATTGGATAGAAAATGACTTCAATAAAATTTCAAAGCAATTATTAGTTGGGAAAATTACAAGTTAAAGCAGGATTTTGTCTAACCCACATTCTTTTTACACAACCTCGGATATAAAGATACATTTACTATTTGGTGAGACCTTGGTCTTTAGTAAGCTTATGCTTTTTACTGCCATGGTGGAGGTGCTGTTGTAATTCTGGATATTTGAACAGAAGGATAGAAACATTTCCTGGCAGATCTGACTTTAAAACAGGCTGCAAATTCAGAACTTGGCCTGTTCCCAAAATATGATCCAATCTAAATTCAGCTCTGATTTACGATTGTGATTATTCCTACTGGATTTACTCAGCATGCCAAAACATCATCCGTCCTGCTGTCAATTTGGCATGAAGTTGAGGAATTCGGGGTTGTTTAATTATGCCATCCAACTTACGCAATGCAACGACATAGACCCTCAGCATGATGCTGTCACCACCATGCTCAACAGTTGGCCCAGTGTTTTGGGGGCTAAAGATTCTCACCTTACTTCCTCCAGCTCACAGTCTAATTAATCAATTGTTTTCTGGTCTGTTGGCCCAATTTTTAACCTTTCTTGACTTCAGGGTCCAAACAAAATCGCTTTTTGCAACTATCAGCACATCACCCAAAATGAAAGATATGAGGACTGAGTTAATCAGCGCGCCCCTACAAGCTATCATTAATATTCTACAATTTTCAGTAAAGTTACTGAAAATATACAGACTGCTCTCAGAAGCCAGGTTTACAGGAAACCAATCCACTGAAATTCTTACAAGAACTCATATTTATAACCCAGAATTATGCTAAAATCATGTTCATGGCAGCTCTAAGTGTGTGGTTTCCCCTGAACTTGTGGAAACACACTTAAGCAATTAACTAATTAGGCAGACTGATGTTCTCAGGCCTTTATTTCTGTTAATTATGATCATTATGATTTTCTGCTCGTATGGACCCCGCCTGCCCCCCGAAGAAACCTCCAGCACTCTGTAGATTAGAGAAAACATTGATTAACTTCAGACCTCAGTCTCGTTATGAAATGTTGTGATATCGTTCCACACAGCAGAGGCAGAACTGAAAACCCAGAATTCACACGTCACTTAAGCCGTTGAGGTTATGTAAACTTCTGGAACTGCAGGTGAAATGATCAGCTTGGACATTTTAAATATGTCAAACTTTATATCGTCATCTTCCTAAAAAATAATGGCTTAAGACAATTTTTTGTCAAAATGATTTTTTATTTTCTATTTTTTATTTGCCTAAATCATCTTCTGATAGAATACGAGGTGTTGATTTTTTTCCCCCCTCCAAAATCCCTTTTGGCAACAAAAAGACTTGTGCCATTATCTTAGGAAGGTGACAACAGTCTACCAGATGCAATGAAATTCAAAGAGCTGCTACAAACAAGTAGAATTTTTATACAAAAAAAGGGACAGCACAACAAAAACAAGTAAACCTCACAAAAGATGAGAGCCAAAACTCTAGAAAACAGAATATGTTGCATATTTAGTGCTTCTGATGTCGAAACATATCAGAAACAATAAATCTACCTTCAATCTTAAAGTGGATCAATATAATCCAGTTAGTGGAGAGATGATCAAACCTGGTCAAAATAAGGTCTAGATAGCAATAAATGTATCAACAAGACAAGAAAGTGATGGACATGAAGAAGTAACAACAGCCGGTATCTGTCAGATCCTCCTCAGATCTGACCGTCCTTAAAAAACCACACACAATCCCTATATGTGTTTCAGAGGGTCCTTACCTTTGCCTCGAAGCAGACCCCATGATGAAACACCTCCTCGTTGTGCATGGGGACCCTCAGATCGAGCGCGTCATCCACTAAATTGTACTTGGTCACTCCGGGCATGGCTCCGGATCTCGTTTTACGACCGCGCTAGAGAACCTGCAGAGATGCGCATCTCCTCTCCTCCCCGCTGAACGCCGCCGCCGCCTCACACTCTCATCCGCGAGACGCGTCACTCCGGCGGTGGGTCACGCGCGGGTCGCGACCGATTGATTGGCCGCGGGAGCCCAATTAATGCGCTAATCGCCGGCTCGGCGAGTGCACTTATCGACCCGTTTTTTTTGGGGGGGGGGGTTTTTTTTTTAGTCCGGTGTTGCTCTGACGCACGACGGAGACGCAGTGGTCTCCGCCGCTGCCCGCCGGTCGAGCCGATGACGCACGGGTAATCAACAAATGATAGTTTGTATTTGTACTCCTCGTAGTAGGTGGGAATTGAACAAAAACAACAACAACAACTACAAAAACCTCCGTCGGCCCAGTTTTGGACGCGATTACATTTCAGGACTGAGACTGGAGCGGCTCGGGATTTAAATGAGACGGAAGGAGGGTTTCCCTTTCACGGCCAGCTCACGGTTTGCTTCGGTGACATCTAGTGGCATTTCAAGGGAACAAATGAGCGGAACTCCACGAGCCCCCGAGGGTCCTGAACCGGGGGCCCGGTCCGCAGAACCGGGTCGGTTCCAAGTATCATACGACTCTATGTTGTCACGACCTAAAAACAACGGCCTGAGTCTTTTCTTTTTCTTTTTTGAAAAACTAACTTTATAATAATAAAAATAATGATGAAAATAAATTAATTACCATCTATTATTTGCTAATAAAAAGGTGGATTTGTAATTATTATTATTATTAGTGGTGGTTATGTGGGGATATATATATATATATATATATATATATATATATATATATATATATATATATATATATATATATATATATATATATATATATATATATATATATATATATATATATTTATTTATATATATTTATTTATCAAAAAATATTCAGGTCATTATTCTAGAAAGGTAAAAAAAAGTGTTTTAGAGCCTAAAAACACACAAATAGGAAATCCTAAAAACATCATGCCAATAACAAACATCACATTTTGTCGGGTGCCATTATGAAAATCCTAAAATATGTTGTGCAATATTCCATTTATTAACGCTCAAAAACAGCTCTAAGCAGCCAGGGAGACTTGATTTAAAGGAACTCACTGTCTATGTTGTCCTTAGTCGTCGATGTTTGATTCTTTGCAACTTTAAACACATTTGTTTCAAGTAGCTCACAGTCTTTGATGGCAATACCTTTTTAAATCTTGCTTTGTACTTAATGTTCACTATATATTTCAATTTTGTGTTTGTTTCCATGTTATGTTATGTAAGGTGACCTTCAGTGTCAGGAACGGCACTTACAAATAAACTGTATTGTTATTATTATTATTATTAAAAGAAAAGTCGGTTTAGAGTTATAAATGATACATAGCATCTCCAAAACTAGAGTTAATGTGGGGTGTGGTCCCAGCAAGGTCATCTGAGTTAACTCAAGCAAAGTAACAAAAACTGAAATTGAGAAAACTATTTTTGTTAACTAAAGTAAATTAAAATGGTAATTAATGGGAGAAAACTATAACTTACGAATGTATTTCTTGACTTGTTTTCTTAGTTTTCTTTCCTTCACCCTCCAACACAAGTAGCTTACGCCAGCTGTCGGCAAATTACGGCACTCCTTAATCCTCCTGGCACCACTTGCACTCGTCTGCAAAATGGTGACGGCAAAAGTTATTAAGCGTACGCCGGAGTCAGTTGGATTTAATCTTCCAAGTTCAGTTCTTTTACCCTTTTGTTATTTGGGTCATTTCTACACCTAAAAATGAAGCAAAATATGAAAAACTAAAACTACAAGGAGAACTAATACTACTTGACAAATAGGAGCTTTTCTCTACAGTTTGTGGATATTTTTCAATCATTGAGGTTGAACAGTGTTCCATCGTTGGTCCTTTACAGTTTTTTTTTATAATTTCCTGGAGATTGACTCCTTTTCATTGAATTACAAATTGAATTTTGTGTCATAATGGAGCCAGTATCTTAGTGTCTAAGGGGAATATAAAACTAGACTAAAGTTGAACTTTTAACATTGAAATGGAATATTACTGTTGATCCTGGCTCCTTACAACAGCTCTGTTAGGATTCCTAACTTAGGAATCTGCCTCCGTAGTGTAAGAAAACCAGGTTAATGCTTTTCTGAGATTAGTTTTTTCTAGCAAACTGTTCCTGCCGAGGTTGAACTATAATACTGTAATGCACACCTCATTACAGTCTTGGACAGGAAGATGAAATGGACATAGATATAATAGTTTTACTTCAAACGATGAAAACAAAAACGTACAAAACGGTGGATGCTGTGGAGAAACAGCACAGAAAAATGCAACCGGAGGTTCAACAGAAGGAGAACAATGTAATGAGAGCTTCAAACTGCTGAGGAGGGGGTGCAAATGATAAAGGAACCAGAAGAGCTAATGACAGGTCAGTGAAAACAGCTGGGGGAAGGGAACAGGTAGGGAGAGACGCAGTAATGATTAACAGCTGTGTGGGGATGCAGAATGGAAAGATGACGTTGAAAACGATCAAAGTAATGAGAACGAAAACGGGAAAAGAAACCTGGACTTCATAAAACCTTAAACAGAAAGAAACATTAATCTAAAAAAAGAAACAAAACTATAACATGAATGATAACGAGACCAAGTGAAGCGACGCAAGCATTGAGTAAAGAGCTCCAACTTGAAATAAATAAGTTCATTTGTTACATGTAATTGAATTAAGCTTGTCAAATGTAATTTATTTACATTTGTTTATTCTTTAAAGTGCTCCATAGTGGTGAGAGAAACGGATAAATATGAGTTGATCAATGCAAAAGTAAACAAAGGCAGTTTTGTCTCATCTGATGAAAATCACTTCCGGCTGTTTGAGTTTGAACAAAATACATTTCATGCAGAAGCACTTCTCCAGCAGATGGCGCCAGTGCTCTTCCACATCAGCTGTAGAAGCGTCAATGTATTTTTCCACACACTTTATGTTTTTTCTTCTTCTTCCTCTTCCTTTTTCATTGAGACCGTAGTTAGAGTGATGCTACTGAGTGAATTCTGGCTGCATCAGAAACCCTGGAGAGCCTCCGCTTCATCCCCCACACAGCGGTTTTCATCCGGCCCTCTGAAAAACACTCAAACACTCCCATTCTTATAACCTCTGTTTTTCAGGCACAAACTGTACCCTGAGGTCCATCTTAAAAGAAACAGGACTACATCATTTTGTCCTTTAGAACATGTTCGTTTCATGAACTATACAACCTGCACGGTTCGTCCAGTTGCTGCGGCTTTACTAATCACTTTTAAGCTCTTCCATCATTCTTCATAGCGACAGCAGATGACGTGGTTGTCAGGTACTGATGTTGAAAGCTGTGAGTGCTAAAAACCCCGAGCTTAAAACTCTTAAAGCGGCCTGTTTTAATCATTCACACACCAAAAATGTCTTCACGCATTAATACGTACAGCAGACATCCGATATATGTTTGACATCCAACAGGCTCATCCAAAGTGAACTTGTTGCGAATCTTTCATAAACGTGTGTTTTTCAATAGGAAAACGTGATTTAAAAACAAAAATAAAATCACTCTTACAGAATTTAAATACCCTGGTTTGGTGCTTAAGAACAAGGCTTAAATTGGCTAAAGATGAACGAGAACTGTACTTGTTAAATATTGAAATTTGTGATTCAGCAATTTTAAGCACATTGGCTTACATGTCTCTTTTCATCATATTGTTGTATTTACTGTTTATCTTGACTTCTCATTTTGACTGACTGTTAAACGTCTTTGTGCTTAAGGTTTCTTACATATGAGAATTTTATTCAAAACCAAGTCAGTCCAAAAATAACCTGGTGTCACGTTCTTCAATGCATATCTGACCATCCGGCTTCCTAAACCTCAAACGAGCCGCTCTCACGTGTTCTGTTACTATCTCTCTCCTGGCAAGACAACCGTTTGCCGACTGACAAGAGACAATCGTTGCTCTTCGCGGGTCAGTAATCAGTGGCACTGTCGGGTTTTCCAGAGCAGAACTGACCTAACAATCTCCGGCGCCCTGTGAACGAGGAAGTCTCTCAAGTTGTTGCCAAACACACATTTGTCATTGTTGCTGTGGATGACAACAGTGTGACAGAACGTCACTGTTTCCTGTGGTTTCTTAGAAAATAGGCAGGAGGGACTCAGAGCCCTGATGTTTATAACGTCAAGTTTGTTAAAAATCCCCAAAGGTGATTGTTATTACCTTTGGATATAGTTTTCTTTGGTCCAAAAATCTACTTAATGATGACCAAGTGACAAAAATATGGCAATTGATAGAGCTTTGATTGAAAATATTTCAACAATATAATGGATTTTTTTCTTTTTTGTTTGTTTGTAAGAGATCCACACTGAAAATTTCACCCCCAAAAATAAAAAAAAAGTCCTAAACGATAACTACTACTACAACAACATTTGTTGTAATACTGTAAAACTGAGTGGAGGGGGTAGAATCAGAGTCATGAGTTGCGGTACGCTTTCCACACAGTTTACGTCCAATAATCAGATCTCCTTGAACAACTGAACGAAAAGCTCGAGAAGTCCAATGGTAACCCAAAACCATGCGATGAGCAGGAAACTGGATCCGACAAACCACCGTGAAGACCAGTGAGCTCAGATTCTGGAAAGGGGGACTGACACATGGACGCCGTGGCAGCTGATAGGGAATATGGGACAGGTGTTGAAATTCAATACGGGAAACAAGGTTGGCAGAGGACACGAGAATCAGAGAAACCAAAACCTCAAACTCAAATGAATCCAGAGAATAAACATGAAACTGACTGGAAGAAGAGATTTACTACTTGACCAGTGGTTTTCAAAACTCTCTTAGAGCTCATAACTTTAAACAATACACTATATTAGGTCTGTGAGAGCAGCCATGACATCTATAAGCAAGATTCATGTCCGTTGCTTTATGAAACTGCAGACATGAAACTACTTTCATGACTGTTATGACATGCTATCAGTTTCCAAGGCAGCAGAAACAACATCCCACAGCAACATGTTCTGGATGACATCATCAGATGTTGGCAAGAGCTGCTAATCCACATCATTTGCTTGTGCCACTCCTTGTTAAATCTCTGTCTGGCCGTATGGATAGAAAGTCGGGGCAGCGAGACGCCAGAGTTGGGGATATGACCCTCGACCTTTATGCAAATCAGGCATTATTTGAACTTTTGACGTGCTAATCAGCAGCTCTCAGTTGGGAAAACAATACTCTGTTGCCACGACTGCGCATCACAACAACTGTCCAGACTCAAGAGGAAAAGCAAAACTACTTCTAGCTGCATAGTGTCAAAAGCCAGGAGGAATATTTTTCATTCAACTCCTCAGGCAAAAAAGTTTTGAACAAAAGTTGCTACAAGAACCAATTGGAACCAGAATGGTAGAGC